ATGCTTGTAACCCCCTGTATTCCCATGTCATAGATCGTGAAAATAAATCGTGAAAAAACGATTTTCGACGTTTTATATAGCAAACAAGCCTTTCTGAACAAGAAAAACATCGGTTTCAAAAACCCACAAAATTGGCATTTTTGCAAAGGGGTTAGTCCATGGTTTTGGTCAAAAATTGGAAATTTTGTGAACGTTTCGTTTTATGCAAAATACACCCAGAAAAAGTATTTGGTGATGTTCTCGTTAGAAGACAAGCCTTTCTAGACAATATAAACATGGATTTAAAAAGAAGGCAAAATTGGCATTTTTGCAAAGGGGATAGTCCATGATTTTGGTCAAAAAGTTGAAGTTTTTTCATCTTTTGTATTTATAAAAAATTGATGGAGAAAAAGTGTTTGCTGACGTTCTAGATAAAAAAGAAGCCTTTAAAGAGTATAAAAACAACTGTTTACGAAAAACGCAAAATTAGAATTTTTCCAAAGGGGTTAGTCCATGGTTTTGATCAAAAATTAGAGATTTCTTTAACTTTGATTTTTATGCAAAATAGACCAAGAAAAAGTATCAGGGAACGTTCTAGATAATAGAAAAAAGTTTCTATAGTCCTTTGTAACCCCTTGTAACCCCTTGTCACCCCCTGTCACCCCTTGTAACCCCTTGTAACCCCCTGTAACCCCTTGTAACCCCTTGTAGCCCCCTGTAACCCCTTGTAACCCCCTGTATTCCCATGTCATAGATCGTGAAAATAAATCGTGAAAAAACGATTTTCGACGTTTATATAGCAAACAAGCCTTTCGGAACAAGAAAAACATCGGTTTCAAAAACCCACAAAATTGGCATTTTTGCAAAGAGGTTAGTCCATGGTTTTGGTCAAAAATTGGAAATTTTGTGAACGTTTCGTTTTATGCAAAATAAACCCAGAAATAGTATTTGGTAATGTTCTCGTTAGAAAACAAGCCTTTCTAGACAATATAAACATGGATTTAAAAAAAAGGCAAAATTGGCATTTTTGCAAAGGGGATAGTCCATGATTTCGGTCAAAAAGTTGAAGTTTTTTCATCTTTTGTATTTATCAAAAATAGATGGAGAAAAAGTGTTTGCTGACGTTCTAGATAAAAAAGAAGCCTTTAAAGACTATAAAAACAACCGTTTACGAAAAACGCAAAATTAGAATTTTTCCAAAGGGGTTAGTCGATCGTTTTGATCAAAAATTAGAGATTTCTTCATCTTTGATTTTTATGCAAAATAGACCAAGAAAAAGTATCTGGGAACGTTCTAGTTAGAAAAAAGTTTCTTTAATCCTTTCTAACCCCCTGTAAGCCCTTGTCACCCCCTGTCATCCCTTGTAACCCCTTTTAACCCCTTGTAACCCCTTCTAACCCCCTGTAACCGCTTGTAACCCCCTGTATTCCCATGTCATAGATCGTGAAAATAAATCGTGAAAAAACGATTTTCGACGTTTTATATAGCAAACAAGCCTTTCTGAACAAGAAAAAAATCGGTTTCAAAAACCCACAAAATTAGAGAAAAGTTTCTATAATCCTTTGTAACCCCCTGTAACCCATTGTCACCCCCGGTCACCCCTTGTAACCCCTTCTAACCCGCTGTAACCCCCTGTAACCCCTTGTAACCCCTTTGTAATCCCCTGTAACCCCTTGTAACCCCTTGTATTCCCATGTCATAGATCGAGAAAATAAATCGTGAAAAAAACGATTTTCGACGTTTATATAGCAAACAAGCCTTTCTGAACAAGAAAAACATCGGTTTCAAAAACTCACAAAATTGGCATTTTTGCAAAGGGGTTAGTCCATGGTTTTGGTCAAAAATTTAAACTTTTGTGGACGTTTCGTTTTATGCAAAATACACCCAGAAAAAGTATTTGGTGATGTTCTCGTTAGAAAACAAGCCTTTCTAGACAATATAAACATGGATTTAAAAAGAAGGCAAAATTGGCATTTTTGCAAAGGGGATAGTCCATGATTTTAGTCAAAAAGTTGAAGTTTTTTCATCTTTTGTATTTATCAAAAATAGATGGAGAAAAAGTGTTTGCTGACGTTCTAGATAAAAAAGAAGCCTTTAAAGAGTATAAAAACAACTGTTTACGAAAAACGCAAAATTAGAATTTTTCCAAAGGGGTTAGTCCATGGTTTTGATCAAAAATTAGAGATTTCTTTAACTTTGATTTTTATGCAAAATAGACCAAGAAAAAGTATCTGGGAACGTTCTAGTTAGAAAAAAGTTTCTATAATCCTTTGTAACCCCTTGTAACCCCTTGTCACCCCCTGTCACCCCTTGTAACCCCTTGTAACCCCCTGTAACCCTTGTAACCCCTTGTAACCCTTTGTAACCCCTTGTAACCCCCTGTAACCCCTTGTAACCCCCTGTATTCCCATGTCATAGATCGAGAAAATAAATCGTGAAAAAACGATTTTCGTCGTTTTATATAGCAAAGAAGCTTTTCTGAACAAGAAAAACATCGGTTTCAAACGCCCACAAAATTGGCATTTTTGCAAAGGGGTTAGTCCATGGTTTTGGTCAAAAATTGGAAATTTTGTGAACGTTTCGTTTTATGCAAAATAGGCCCAGAAAAAGTATTTGGTGACGTTCTCGTTTGAAAACAAGCCTTTCTAGACAATATAAACATGGATTAAAAAAGAAGGCAGAATTGGCATTTTTGCAAAGGGGATAGTCCATGATTTTGGTCAAAAAGTTGAAGTTTTTTCATCTTTTGTATTTATCATAAATAGATGGAGAAAAAGTGTTTGCTGACGTTCTAGATAAAAAAGAAGCCTTTAAAGACTATAAAAAGGATTGTTTACGAAAAACGCAAAATAAGAATTTTTCCAAAGGGGTTAGCCCATCGTTTTGATCAAAAATTAGAGATTTGTTCAACTTTGATTTTTATGCAAAATAGACCAAGAAAAAGTATCTGGAAACGTTCTAGATAGAAAAAAGTTTCTATAGTCCTTTGTAACCCAGTGTAACCCCTTCTCACCCCCTGTCACCCCTTGTAACCCCTTGTAACCCCCTGTAACCCCTTGTAACCCCTTGTAACCCTCTGTAACCCCTTGTAACCCCCTGTATTCCCATGTCATAGATCGTGAAAATAAATCGTGAAAAAACGATTTTCGACGTTTTGTATAGCAAACAAGCCTTTCTGAACAAGAAAAACATCGGTTTCAAAAACCCACAAAATTGGCATTTTTTCAAAGGGGTTAGTCCATGGTTTTGGTCAAAAATTGGAAATTTTGTGAACGTTTCGTTTTATGCAAAATACACCCAGAAAAAGTATTTGGTGACGTTGTCAATAGAAAACAAGCCTTTCTTGACAATATAAACATGGATTTAAAAAGAAAGCAAGATTGGCATTTTTGCAAAGGATATCGTGCATGAGTTTGGTCAAAAAGTTGAAGTTTTTTCATCTTTTGTATTTATCAAAAATAGATGGAGAAAAAGTGTTTGCTGACGTTCTAGATAAAAAAGAAGCCTTTAAAGAGTATAAAAACAACTGTTTACGAAAAACGCAAAATTAGAATTTTTCCAAAGGGGTTAGTCCATGGTTTTGATCAAAAATTAGAGATTTCTTTAACTTTGATTTTTATGCAAAATAGACCAAGAAAAAGTATCTGGTAACGTTCTGGAGAGAAAAAAGTTTCTATAATCCTCTGTAACCCCCTGTAACCCCTTGTCACCCCCTGTCACCCCTTGTAACCCCTTGTAACCCCTTGTAACCCTCTGTAACCCCTTGTAACCCCTTGTATTCCCATGTCATAGATTGGAAAATAAATCGTGAAAAAACGATTTTCGACGTTTTGTATACCAAAGAAGCCTTTCTGAACAAGAAAAACATCCTTTTCAAAAACCCAGAAAATTGGCATTTTTGCAAAGGGGTTAGTCCATGGTTTTGGTCAAAAATTGGAAATTTTGTGAATGTTTCGTTTTATGCAAAATACACCCAGAAAAAGTATTTGGTGACGTTGTCGTTGGAAAACAAGCCTTTCTAGACAATATAAACATGGATTTAAAAAGAAGGCAAAATTGGCATTTTTGCAAAGGGGATAGTCCATGGTTTTGGTCAAAAAGTTAAATTTTTTTTTATCTTTTGTATTTATCAAAAATACATCGCAAAAAAGTGTTTGCTGACGTTCTAGATAAAAAAGAAGCCTTTAAAGACTATAAAAACAACTGTTTACCAAAAACGCAAAATTAGAATTTTTCCAAAGGGGTTAATCTATGGTTTTGATCAAAAATTAGAGATTTCTTCAACTTTGATTTTTATGCAAAATAGACCAAGAAAAAGTATCTGATAACGTTCTAGTTAGAAAAAAGTTTCTATAATCCTTTGTAACCCCCTGCAACCGATTGTCACCCCCTGTCACCCTTTCTAACCCCTTGTTAACCTCTGTAAACCGTTGTACCCCCTTGTAACCCCTTGTAATCCCCTGTAACCCCTTGTAACCCCCTGTATTCCCAAGTCATAGATCGTGAAAATAAATGGTGAAAAAACGATTCTCGACGTTTTATATAGGAAACAAGCCTTTCTGAACAAGAAAAACATCGGTTTCAAAAACCCACAAAGTTGGTATTTTTGCAAAGGGGTTAGTCCTTGGTTTTTGGTCAAAAATTAGAAATTTCTTCAACTTTGATTTTTATGCAAAATAGACCAAGAAAAAGTATCTGGGAACGTTTTAGTTAGAAAAAAGTTTCTATAATCCTTTGTAACCCCCTGCAACCCATTGTCACCCCCTGTCACCCTTTCTAACCCCTTGTTACCCTCTGTAACCCGTTGTAACCCCTTGTAACCCCTTGTAACCCCCTGTAATCCCAAGTCATAGATCTTGAAAATAAATCGTGAAAAAACGATTCTCGACGTTTTATATAGCAAACAAGCCTTTCTAAACAAGAAAAACGTCGGTTTCAAAAACCCACAAAGTTGGTATTTTTGCAAAGGGGTTAGTCCATGGTTTTGGTCAAAAATTGGAAATTTTGTGAACGTTTCGTTTTATGCAAAATACAGCCAGAAAAAGTATTTGGTGACGTTCTCGTTGGAAAACAAGCCTTTCTAGACAATACAAACATGGACTTAAAAAGGAGGCAAAATTGGCATTTTTGCAAAGGGGATAGTCCATGATTTTGGTCAAAAAGTTGAAGTTTTTTCATCTTTTGTATTGATTAAAAATAGATGGAGAAAAAGTGTTTGCTGACGTCCTAGATAAAAAAGATGCCTTTAAAGACTATAAAAACAACTGTTTACCAAAAACGCAAAATTAGAATTTTTCCAAAGGGGTTAACCCATCGTTCTGATCAAAAATTAGAGATTTGTTCAACTTTGATTTTTATGCAAAATAGACCAAGAAAAAGTATCTGGGAACGTTCTAGTTAGAAAAAAGTTCCTATAATCCTTTGTAACCCAGTGTAACCCCTTATCACCGCCTGTCACCCCTTGTAACCCCTTATAACCCCTTGTAACCCCTTGTAACCCCTTGTAACCCTTTGTAACCCCTGGTAACTTCCTGTAACCCCTTGTAACACCCTGTATTCCCATGTCATAGATCGTGAAAATAAATCATGAAAAAACGATTTTCGACGTTTTATACAGCAAACAAGGCTTTCTGAACAAGAAAAACATCGCTTTCAAAAACCCACAAAATTGGCATTTTTGGAAAGGGGTTAGTCCATGGTTTTGGTCAAAAATTGGAAATTTTGTGAACGTTTCGTTTTATGCAAAATACACCCAGAGAAAGTATTTGGTGACGTTCTCGTTAGGAAACAAGCCTTTCTAGACAATATAAACATGGATTTGAAAAGATGGCAAAATTGGCATTTTTGCAAAGGCGATAGTCGATGATTTTGGTCAAAAAGTTGAAGTTTTTTCATCTTTTGTATTTATCAAAAATAGATCGAGAAAAAGTGTTTGCTGACGTTGTAGACAAAAAAGAGGCCTTTAAAGACTATAAAAACAACTGGTTACGAAAAACGCAAAATTAGAATTTTTCCAAAGGGGTTAGGCCATGGTTTTGATCAAAAATTAGAGATTTCTTTAACTTTGATTTTTATGCAAAATAGACCAAGAAAAAGTATCTGGGAACGTTCTAGATAGAAAAAAGTTTTTATAATCCTTTGTAACCCCCTGTAACCCCTTGCATTGTTACCCCGTGTCACCCCTTGTAACCCCTTGTAACCCCTTGTAACCCCCTGTAACCCCTTGTAACTCCTTGTAACCCCTTGTAACCCTCTGTAACCCTTTGTAACCCCCTGTATTCCCATGTCAAAGATCGTGAAAATAAATCGTGAAAAAACGATTTTCGACGTTTTGTATAGCAAACAAGCCTTTCTGAAGAAGAAAAACATCGGTTTCAAAAACCCACAAAATTGGCATTTTTGCAAAGGGGTTAGTCCATGGTGTTGGTCAAAAATTGGAAATTTTGTGAACGTTTCGTTTTATTCAAAATACACCCAGAAAAAGTATTTGGTGACGTTGTCGTTAGAAAACAAGCCTTTCTAGATAATATAAACATGGATTTAAAAAGAAGGCAAACTTGGCATTTTTGCAAAGGATATCGTCCATGATTTTGATCAAAAAGTTGAAGTTTTTTCATCTTTTGTATTTATCAAAAATAGATGGAGAAAAAGTGTTTGCTGACGTTCTAGATGAAAAAAAGCCTTTAAAGACTATAAAAACAACTGTTTACGAAAAACGCAAAATTAGAATTTTTCCAAAGGGGTTAACCCATCGTTTTGATCAAAAATTAGAGATTTCTTCAACTTTGATTTTTATGCAAAATAGACCAAGAAAAAGTATCTGGGAACGTTCTAGTTATAAAAAAGTTTCTATAATCCTTTGTAACCCACTGTAACCCCTTATCTCCCCCTGTCACCCCTTATAACCCCTTGTAACCCCCTGTAACCCCTTTTAACCCCCTGTATTCCCATGTGATGGATCGTGAAAATAAATCGTGAAAAAACGATTTTCGACGTTTTATATAGCAAACAAGCCTTTCTGAATAAGAAAAACATCGGTTTCAAAAACTCACAAAATTGGCATTTTTGCAAAGGGGTTAGTCCATGGTTTTGGTCAAAAATTTAAACTTTTGTGAACGTTTCGTTTTATGCGAAATACACCCAGAAAAAGTATTTGGTGACGTTCTCGTTAGAAAACAAGCCTTTCTAGATAATATAAAGATGGATTTAAAAAGAAGGCAAAATTGGCATTTTTGCAAAGGGGATAGTCCATGATTTTGGTCAAAAAGTTGAAGTTTTTTCATCTTTTGCATTTATGAAAAATAGATGGAGAAAAGGTGTTTGCTGACGTTCTAGATAAAAAAGAAGCCTTTAAAGAGTATAAAAACAACTGTTTACGAAAAACGCAAAATTAGAATTTTTCCAAAGGGGTTAATCTATGGTTTTGATCAAAAATTAGAGATTTGTTGAACTTTGATTTTTATGCAAAATAGACCAAGAAAAAGTATCTGGGAACGTTCTAGATGGAAAAAAGTTTCTATAATCCTTTGTAACCCCCTGTAACCCCTTGTCACCCCCTGTCACCCCTTGTAACCCCTTGTAACCCCCTGTAACCCCTTATAACCCCTTGTAATCTCTTGTAACCACCTGTAACCCCTTGTAACCCCTTGTAACCCCCTGTAACCCCTTGTAACCCCTTGTAACTCCTTGTAACCCCTTGTAAGCCCCTGTAAACCCTTGTAAGCCCCTGTAACACCTTGTAACTCCCTGTGTTCCCATGTCATAGATCGTGAAAATAAATCGTGAAAAAACGATTTTCGACGTTTTATATAGCAAACAAGCCTTTCGGAACAAGAAAAACAGCGGTTTGAAAAACCCACAAAATTGGCATTTTTGCAAAGGGGTTAGTCCATGGTTTTAGACAAAAATTGGAAATTTTGTGAACGTTTCGTTTTATAGGAAAATTCATTACCTGACGAGGGAATTCCACGTTAAATTGCACGCGAAAACCGATATCGCACGAATCGCGAAGCGATGAGTGCGATATCGGTTTTCAAGTGCAATTTAACGTGGAATTCTCGAGTCAGGTACTGAATTTTCCTTGAATCGCATAATTGAATAAAAATCAGAAGAAAAAAAAAGAAAACAGCAATAATATTGTTTGTTTTTATCCTGAGCGCGCGCTCCAGAAAGCCATTTCAAAGTCAACTGTCAGAACTGTCATTGCGTTAGCGAATAGGAAGCAAGGTCAGTCGTACACGTTTGAACCTTCGACAACTTTTTTTGTACCTTGTGCTTGTTTTCACATTTGTTTTCAAACTTTTTTACATGTAAACAAGCTTCACACTAATCTTAAGGATAAATAGAGGTATTTTACTGAATTTAGAAGCCGTTTATGTAGAACGTCTTTTTTCAAATTGGTCATTTGCTCGAGAAGGAAAATAATTTACACCTTTTACCTCTTCGGCGGCAAAACTGAAAGAAATCAAGTGTCCAAGCGAAAGCACTGAAAGTTTAACATGTTTAACGTCGCGATTGACATAAGGTAAGTACCTTGAAATGTTTTAGAAATGCTGCTCAAGTTCAGCTCTGTTTTGTACTTTTCTAAGTACCACGATTCAGGACGATTGCAAGCGGCGTACTCTTTTTCGTGTTTTCAGGCGCCATGTCCTCTTTGAAGGTATTTATTTCTTCTTCTGTATATGCGACAATCGACCCCGGCACTTCCTCCGTTGTCGCTTCTCCGTTTTGTTTGGTTGAACTTTGGATTGCCATTTTCTGGGCCGTGTTCACAGGATTTTCTTGTTTTCTGGTTGTCGCGAGTGAAAGAGGTTTTATGTCTCTTCGAGAATCTGTAGTTCAGTTCAAAACAAGGAAGAACCTCCGGCTCACTTTAAAAAACGCTTTTGTTTGTTTTTAACTCGTCAAAAAGTGACAATGAATGGTTTTGAAAACCGGTTTTAAAATGACATTGTAGAAAACCTTTTTTGCATGTTGTTGTGTTAAAATTTGACGATAGTTGTTACGTAGATGCGAAACAATATCGCTTAGCCTCGTTTTCAACTCGCAATTCCACACTAAATACGTCGCTTCGTTAACCAATCAGAATGCGAGATTTTACTTAATTATGCGATTCTATTCAAAATACACCCAGAAAAAGTATTTGGAGACGTTGTCGTTACAAAACAAGCCTATCTAGACAAAATAAACATGGATTTAAAAAGAAGGCAAAATTGGCATTTTTGCAAAGGGGTTAGTCCATGGTCTTGATCAAAAATTAGAGATTTCTTCAACTTTGATTTTTATGCAAAATAGACCAAGAAAAAGTATCTGGGAACGTTCTAGTTAGAAAAAGTTTCTATAATCCTTTGTAACCCCTTGTAACCCCTTGTCACCCCCTGTCACCCCTTGTAACCCCTTGTAACCCGCTGTAACCCCCTGTAACCCCTTGTAACCCCTTGTAACCCCTTTGTAACCCCCTGTAACCCCTTGTAACCCCCTGTATTCCCATGTCATAGATCGAGAAAATAAGTCGTGAAAAAAAAGATTTTCGACGTTTTATATAGCAAACAAGCCTTTCTGAACAAGAAAAACATCGGTTTCAAAAACCCACAAAATTGGCATTTTTGCAAAGGGGTTAGTCCATGGTTTTGGTCAAAAATTGGAAATTTTGTGAACGTTTCGTTTTATGCAAAATACACCCAGAAAAAGTATTTGGTGACGTTGTCGTTAGAAAACAAGCCTTTCCAGACAATATACACATTGATTTAAAGAGAAGGCAAAATTGGCATTTTTGCAAAGGGGATAGTCCATGATTTTAGTCAAAAAGTTGAAGTTTTTTCATCTTTTGTATTTATCAAAAATTGATGGAGAAAAGGTGTTTGCTGACGTTGTAGATAAAAAAGAAGCCTTTAAAGACTATAAAAACAACTGTTTACCAAAAACGCAAAATTAGAATTTTTCCAAAGGGGTTAGTCCATGGTTTTGATCAAAAATTAGACATTTCTTACTCTTTGATTTTTATGCAAAATAGACCAAGAAAAAGTATCTGGGAACGTTCTAGTTAGAAAAAAGTTTCTATAATCCTTTGTAACCCCGTGTAACCCCTTGTCACCCCCTGTCAGCCGTTTTAACCCCCTGTAACCCCTTGTAACCCCTTGTAACCCCCTGTAACCCCTTGTAACCCCCTCTATTCCCATGTCATAGATCGTGAAAATAAATCGTGAAAAAACGATTTTCGACGTTTTATATAGCAAACAAGCCTTTCGGAACAAGAAAAACATCGGTTTTAAAAACCCACAAAATTGGCATTTTTGCAAAGGGGTTAGTCCATGGTTTTGGTCAAAAATTGGAAATTTTGTGAACGTTTCGTTTTATGCAAAATACACCCAAAAAAAGTATTTGGTGACGTTGTCGTTGGAAAACAAGCCTTTCTAGACAATATAAACATGGATTTAAAAAGAAGGCAAAATTGGCATTTTTGCAAAGGGGATAGTCCATGATTTTGGTCAAAAAGTTGAAGTTTTTTCGTCTTTTGTATTTATCAAAAATACATCGCAAAAAAGTGTTTGCTGACGTTCTAGATAAAAAAGAAGCCTTTAAAGACTATAAAAACAACTGTTTACCAAAAACGCAAAATTAGAATTTTTCCAAAGGGGTTAGTCCATCGTCTTGATCAAAAATTAGAGATTTGTTGAACTTTGATTTTTATGCAAAATAGACCAAGAAAAAGTATCTGGTAACGTTCTGGAGAGAAAAAAGTTTCTATAATCCTCTGTAACCCACTGTAACCCCTTATCACCCCCTGTCACCCCTTTGTAACCCCTTGTAACCCCGTGTAACCCCTTGTAACCCTTTATAACCCCTTGTAACCCTTTTTAACCCCCTGTAACCCCTTGTAACCCCCTGTATTCCCATGTCATAGATCGTGAAAATAAATCGTGAAAAAACGATTTTCGTCGTTTTATATAGCAAAGAAGCTTTTCTGAACAAGAAAAACATCGGTTTCAAACGCCCACAAAATTGGCATTTTTGCAAAGGCGTTAGTCCATGGTTTTGGTCAAAAATTGGAAATTTTGTGAACGTTTCGTTTTATGCAAAATAGGCCCAGAAAAAGTATTTGGAGACGTTCTCGTTTGAAAACAAGCCTTTCTAGACAATATAAACATGGATTAAAAAAGAAGGCAGAATTGGCATTTTTGCAAAGGGGATAGTCCATGATTTTGGTCAAAAAGTAGAAGTTTTTTCATCTTTTGTATTTATCAAAAATAGATGGAGAAAAAGTGTTTGCTGACGTTGTAGAAAAAAAAGAAGCCTTTAAAGACTATAAAAACGATTGTTTACAAAAAACGGAAAATAAGAATTTTTCCAAAGGGGTTAGTCCATCGTTTTGATCAAAAATTAGAGATTTGTTCAACTTTGATTTTTATGCAAAATAGACCAAGAAAAAGTATCTGGAAACGTTCTAGATAGAAAAAAGTTTCTATAATCCTTTGTAACCCAGTGTAACCCCTTGTCACCCCCTGTCACCCCTTGTAACCCCTTGTAACCCCTTGTAACCCCTTGTAACCCCTTGTAACCCTCTGTAACCCCTTGTAACCTCCTGTATTCCCATGTCATAGATCGTGAAAAAACGATTTTCGACGTTTTGTATAGCAAACAAGCCTTTCTGAACAAGAAAAACATCGGTTTCAAAAACCCACAAAATTGGCATTTTTGCAAAGGGGTTAGTCCATGGTTTTGGTCAAAAATTGGAAATTTTGTGAACGTTTCGTTTTATGCAAAATACACCCAGAAAAAGTCTTTGGAGACGTTGTCGTTAGAAAACAAGCCTTTCTTGACAATATAAACATGGATTTAAACAGAAGGCAAAATTGGCATTTTTGCAAAGGGGATAGTCCATGATTTTGGTCAAAAAGTTGAAGTTTTTTCATCTTTTGTATTTATCAAAAATAGATGGAGAAAAAGTGTTTGCTGACGTTCTAGATAAAAAAGAAGCCTTTAAAGAGTATAAAAACAACTGTTTACGAAAAACGCAAAATTAGAATTTTTCCAAAGGGGTTAATCTATGGTTTTGATCAAAAATTAGACATTTGTTGAACTCTGATTTTTATGCAAAATAGACCAAGAAAAAGTATCTGGGAACGTTCTAGATGGAAAAAAGTTTCTATAATCCTTTGTAACCCCCTGTAACCCCTTGTCATCCCCTGTCACCCCTTGTAACGCCTTGAAACCCCCTGTAACCCCTTATAACCCCTTGTAATCCCTTGTAACCACCTGTAACCCCTTGTAACCCCTTGTAACCCCTTGTAACCCCATGTAACCCCTTGTAACTCCTTGTAACCCCTTGTAACTCCTTGTAACCCCTTGTAAGCCCCTGTAAACCCTTGTAAGCCCCTGTAACACCTTGTAACTCCCTGTGTTCCCATGTCATAGATCGCGAAAATAAATCGTGAAAAAACGATTTTCGACCTTTTATATAGCAAACAAGCCTTTCGGAACAAGAAAAACAGCGATTTCAAAAACCCACAAAATTGGCATTTTTGCAAAGGGGTTAGTCCATGGTTTTAGACAAAAATTGGAAATTTTGTGAACGTTTCGTTTTATTCTAAATACACCCAGAAAAAGTATTTGGTGACGTTGTCGTTACAAAACAAGCCTATCTAGACAATACAAACATGGATTTAAAAAGAAGGCAAAATTGGCATTTTTGCACAGGGGTTAGTCCATGGTTTTGATCAAAAATTAGAGATTTCTTCAACTTTGATTTTTATGCAAAATAGACCAAGAAAAAGTATCTCGGAACGTTCTAGTTAGAAAAAAGTTTCTATAATCCTTTGTAACCCCCTGGAACCCATTGTCACCCCCTGTCACCCTTTCTAACCCCTTGTTACCCTCTGTAACCCGTTGTAACCCGTTGTAACCCCTTGTAACCCCTTGTAACCCCCTGTAACCCCTTGAAACCCCCTGTATTCCCAAGTCATAGATCGTGAAAATAAATCGTGAAAAAACGATTCCCGACGTTTTATATAGCAAACAAGCCTTTCTGAACAAGAAAAATATCGGTTTCAAAAACCCACAAAGTTGGTATTTTTGCAAAGGGGTTAGTCCATGGTGTTGGTCAAAAATTGGAAATTTTGTGAACGTTTCGTTTTATTCAAAATACACCCAGAAAAAGTATTTGGTGACGTTGTCGTTAGAAAACAAGCCTTTCTAGATAATATAAACATGGATTTAAAAAGAAGGCAAACTTGGCATTTTTGCAAAGGATATAGTCCATGATTTTGATCAAAAAGTTGAAGTTTTTTCATCTTTTGTATTTATCAAAAATAAATGGAGAAAAAGTGTTTGCTGACGTTCTAGATGAAAAAAAAGCCTTTAAAGACTATAAAAACAACTGTTTACGAAAAAGGCAAAATTAGAATTTTTCCAAAGGGGTTAACCCATCGTTTTGATCAAAAATTAGAGATTTCTTCAACTTTGATTTTTATGCAAAATAGACGAAGAAAAAGTACCTGGGAACGTTCTAGATAGAAAAAAGTTTCTATAATCCTTTGTAACCCACTGTAACCCCTTATCTCCCCCTGTCACCCCTTATAACCCCATGTAACCCCCTGTAACCACTTTTAACCCCCTGTATTCCCATGTGATGGATCGTGAAAATAAATCGTGAAAAAACGATTTTCGACGTTTTATATAGCAAACAAGCCTTTCTGAAAAAGAAAAACATCGGTTTCAAAAACCTACAAAATTGGCATTTTTGCAAAGGGGTTAGTCCATGGTTTTGGTCAAAAATTGGAAATTTTGTGAACGTTTCGTTTTATGCAAAATACACCCAGAAAAAGTATTTGGTGACGTTCTCGTTAGAAAACAAGCCTTTCTAGATAATATAAAGATGGACTTAAAAAGGAGGCAAAATTGGCATTTTTGCAAAGGGGATAGTCCATGATTTTGGTCAAAAAGTTGAAGTTTTTTCATGTTTTGTATTTATCAAAAATAGATGGAGAAAAAGTGTTTGCTGACGTTCTAGGTAAAAAAGAAGCCTTTAAAGACTATAGAAACAACTGTTTACAAAAAACGCAAAATTAGAATTTTTCCAAAGGTGTTAACCCATGGTTTTGATCAAAAATTAGAGTTTTCTTCAACTTTGATTTTTATGCAAAATAGACCAAGAAAAAGTATCTGGGAACGTTCTAGTTAGAAAAAAGTTTCTATAATTCTCTATAACCCACTGTAACCCCTTATCATCCCCTGTCACCCCTTTGTAACCCCTTGTAACCCCGTGTAACCCCTTGTAACCCTTTGTAACCCCTTGTAACCCCTTGTAACCCCCTGTAACCCCTTGTAACCCCCTGTATTCCCATGTCATAGATCGTGAAAATAAATCGTGAAAAAACGATTTTCGTCGTTTTATATAGCAAAGAAGCCTTTCTGAACAAGAAAAACATCGGTTTCAAAAGCCCACAAAATTGGCATTTTTGCAAAGGGGTTAGTCCATGGTTTTGGTCAAAAATTGGAAATTTTGTGAACGTTTCGTTTTATGCAAAATAGGCCCAGAAAAAGTATTTGGTGACGTTCTCGTTTGAAAACAAGCCTTTCTAGACAATATAAACATGGATTAAAAAAGGAGGCAAAATTGGCATTTTTGCAAAGGGGATAGTCCATGATTTTGGTCAAAAAGTAGAAGTTTTTTCATCTTTTGTATTTATCAAAAATAGATGGAGAAAAAGTGTTTGCTGACGTTCTAGATAAAAAAGAAGCCTTTAAAGACTATAAAAACGATTGTTTACGAAAAACGCAAAATTAGAATTTTTCCAAAGGGGTTAGTCCATCGTTTTGATCAAAAATTAGAGATTTGTTCAACTTTGATTTTTATGCAAAATAGACGAAGAAAAAGTATCTGGAAACGTTCTAGATAGAAAAAAGTTTCTATAGCGCTTTGTAACCCAGTGTAACCCCTTGTCACCCCCTGTCACCCCTTGTAACCCCTTGTAACCCCCTGTAACCCCTTGTAACCCCTTGTAACCCTCTGTAACCCCTTGTAACCCTCTGTAACCCCTTGTAACCCCCTTTATTCCCATGTCATAGATCGTGAAAATAGATCGTGAAAAAAGGATTTTCGACGTTTTGTATAGCAAACAAGCCTTTCTGAAAAAGAAAAACAGCGGTTTCAAAAACCCACAAAATTGGCATTTTTGCAAAGGGGTTAGTCCATGGTTTTGGTCAAAAATTGGAAATTTTGTGAACGTTTCGTTTTATGCAAAATAGGCCCAGAAAAAGTCTTTGGTGACGTTGTCGTTAGAAAACAAGCCTTTCTAGACGACATAAACATGGATTTAAAAAGAAGGCAAAATTGGCATTTTTGCAAAGGGGATAGTCCATGATTTTGGTCAAAAAGTTAAGGTTTTTTCATCTTTTGTATTTATCAAAAATAGATGGAGAAAAAGTGTTTGCTGACGTTCTAGATAAAAAAGAAGCCTTTAAAGACTATAAACACAACTGTTTACGAAAAACGCAAAATTAGAATTTTTCCAAAGGAGTTAGTCCATCGTTTTGTTCAAAAATTAGAGATTTCTTTAACTTTGATTTTTATGCAAAATAGACGAAGAAAAAGTATCAGAAAACGTTCTAGTTAGAAAAAAGTTTCTATAATCCTTTGTAACCCCCTGTTCCCCTTGTCACCCCCTGTCACCCCTTGTAACCCCCTGTAACCCCTTGTAAACCCTTGTAACCCCTTGTAACCCGATGTATTCCCATGTCATAGATCCTGAAAAAAATCGTGAAAAAAGGATTTTCGACGTTTTATATAGCAAACAAGCCTTTCTGAACAAGAAAAACATCGGTTTCAAAAACCCACAAAATTGGCATTTTTGCAAAGGGGTTAGTCCATGGTTTTGGTCAAAAATTGGAAATTTTGTGAACGTTTCGTTTTATGCAAAATACACCCAGAAAAAGTATTTGGTGACGTTGTCGTTACAAAACAAGCCTATCTAGACAATATAAACATGGATTTAAAAAGAAGGCAAAATTGGCATTTTTGATCAAAAATTAGAGATTTCTTCAACTTTGATTTTTATGCAAAATAGACCAAGAAAAAGTATCTGGGAACGTTCTAGTTAGAAAAAAGTTTCTATAATCTTTTGTAAGCCCCTGCACACCCATTGTCACCCCCTGTCACCCTTTCTAACCCCTTGTTACCCTCTGTAACCCGTTGTAACCCCTTGTAACCCCTTGAAACCCCTTGTAGCCCCCTGTAACCCCTTGTAACCCCCTGTTTCCCAAGTCATAGATCGTGAAAATAAATCGTGAAAAAACGATTCTCGACGTTTTATATAGCAAACAAGCCCTTCTGAACAAGAAAAATATCGGTTTCTAAAACCCACAAAGTTGGTATTTTTGCAAAGGGGTTAGTCCATGGTTTTGGTCAAAAATTGGAAATCTTGCGAACGTTTCGTTTTATGCAAAATACACCCAGAAAAAGTATTTGGTGACGTTCTTGTTAGAAAACAAGCCTTTCTAGAAAATACAAACATGGACTTAAAAAGAAGGCAAAATTGGCATTTTTGCAAAGGGGATAGTCCATGATTTTGGTCAAAAAGTTGAAGTTTTTTCATGTTTTGTATTGATTAAAAATAGATGGAGAAAAAGTGTTTGCTGACGTTCTTGATAAAAAAGAAGCCTTTAAAGACTATAAAAACAACTGTTTACGAAAAACGCAGAATTAGAATTTTTCCAAAGTGGTTAAGCCATCGTTTTGATCAAAAATTAGAGATTTGTTCAACTTTGATTTTTATGCAAAATAGACCAAGAAAAAGTATCTGGGAACGTTCTAGTTAGAAAAAAGTTTCTATAATCCTTTGTAACCCAGTGTAACCCCTTATCACCGCCTGTCACCCCTTGTAACCCCTTGTAACCCCCTGTAACCCCTTGTAACCCCTTGTAACCCCTTGAAACCCCTTGTAACCCCTTGTAACTTCCTGTAACCCATTGTAACCCCCTGTATTCCCATGTCATAGGTCGTGAAAATAAATCATGAAAAAACGATTTTCGACGTTTTATACAGCAAACAAGGCCTTCTGAACAAGAAAAACATCGGTTTCAAAAACCCACAAAATTGGCATTTTTGCAAAGGGGTTAGTCCATGGTTTTGGTCAAAAATTGGAAATTTTTGAACGTTTCGTTTTATGCAAAATACACCCAGAGAAAGTATTTGGTGACGTTCTCGTTAGGAAACAAGTCTTTCTAGACAATATAAACATGGATTGAAAAAGAAGGCAAAATTGGCATTTTTGCAAAGGGGATAGTCGATGATTTTGGTCAAAAAGTTGGAGTTTTTTCATCTTTTGTATTTATCAAAAATAGATGGAGAAAAAGTGTTTACTGACGTTCTAGATAAAAAAGAAGCCTTTAAAGACTATACAAAACAACTGACTTTGATTTTGGTCAAAAAGTTGAAGTTTTTTCATCTTTTGTATTTATCAAAAATAGATGGAGAAAAGGTGTTTGCTGATGTTCTAGATAAAAAAGAAGCCTTTAAAGACTATAAAAACAACCGTTTACGAAAAACGCAAAATTAGAATTTTTCCAAAGGGGTTAACCCATCGTTTTGATCAAAAATTAGAGATTTGTTCAACTTTGATTTTTATGCAAAATAGACCAAGAAAAAGTATCTGGGAACGTTCTAGTTAGATAAAAGTTTCTATAATCCTTTGTAACCCAGTGTAACCCCTTATCACCGCCTGTCACCCCTTGTAACCCCTTGTAACCCACTGTAACCCCTTGTAACCCCTTGTAACCCCTTGTAACTTCCTGTAACCCCTTGTAACCCCCTGTATTCCCATGTCATAGATCGTGAAAATAAATCATGAAAAAACGATTTTCGACGTTTTATACAGCAAACAAGGCTTTCTGAACAAGAAAAACATCGGTTTCAAAAACCCACAAAATTGGCATTTTTGCAAAGGGGTTAGTCCATGGTGTTGGTCAAAATTGGAAATTTTGTGAACGTTTCGTTTTATTCAAAGTACACCCAGAAAAAGTATTTGGTGACGTTGTCGTTAGAAAACAAGCCTTTCTAGACAATATAAACATGGATTTAAAAAGCAGGCAAAAATGGAATTTTGCAAAGGGGATAGTCCATGATTTTGTTCAAAAAGTTGAAGTTTTTTCATCTTTTGTATTTATCAAAAATAGACGGAGAAAAAGTGTTTGCTGACGTTCTAGATAAAAAAGAAGCCTTTAAAGACTATACAAAACAACTGACTTTGATTTTGGTCAAAAAGTTGAAGTTTTTTCATCTTTTGTATTTATCAAAAATAGATGGAGAAAAGGTGTTTGCTGATGTTCTAGATAAAAAAGAAGCCTTTAAAGACTATAAAAACAACTGTTTACGAAAAACGCAAAATTAGAATTTTTTCAAAGGGGTTAACCCATCGTTTTGATCAAAAATTAGAGATTTGTTCAACTTTGATTTTTATGCAAAATAGACCAAGAAAAAGTATCTGGGAACGTTCTAGTTATAAAAAAGTTTCTATAATCCTTTGTAACCCACTGTAACCCCTTATCTCCCCCTGTCACCCCTTATAACCCCTTGTAACCCCCTGTAACCCCTTTTAACCCCCTGTATTCCCATGTGATGGATCGTGAAAATAAATCGTGAAAAAACGATTTTCGACGTTTTATATAGCAAACAAGCCTTTCTGAACAAGAAAAACATAGGTTTCAAAAACCCACAAAATAGGCATTTTTGCAAAGGGGTTAGTCCATGGTTTTGGTCAAAAATTGGAAATTTTGTGAACGTTTCGTTTTATACAAAATACACCCAGAAAAAGTATTTGGTGACGTTGTCGTTAGAAAACAAGCCTTTCTAGATAATATAAAGATGGACTAAAAAAGGAGGCAAAGTTGGCATTTTTGCAAAGGGGATAGTCCATGATTTTGGTCAAAAAGTTGAAGTGTTTTCATCTTTTGTATTTATCAAAAATAGATGGAGAAAAAGTGTTTGCTGACGTTCTAGATAAAGAAGAAGCCGTTAAAGACTATAAAAACGATTGTTTACGAAAAACGCAAAATAAGAATTTTTCCAAAGGGTTAGTCCATGGTTTTGATCAAAAATTAGAGATTTCTTTAACTTTGATTTTTATGCAAAATAGACGAAGAAAAAGTATCTGGAAACGTTCTAGATAGAAAAAAGTTTCTATAGTGCTTTGTAACCCAGTGTAACCCCTTGTCACCCCCTGTCACCCCTTGTAACCCCTTGTAACCCTCTGTAACCCCTTGTAACCCCCTGTATTCCCATGTCATAGATCGTGAAAATAAATCGTGAAAAAACGATTTTCGACGTTTTCTATAGCAAACAAGCCTTTCTGAACAAGAAAAACATCGGTTTCAAAAACCCACAAAATTGGCATTTTTGCAAAGGGGTTAGTCCATGGTTTTGGTCAAAAATTGGAAATTTTGTGAACGTTTCGTTTTATGCAAAATACACCCAGAAAAAGTCTTTGGAGACGTTTTCGTTAGAAAACAAGCCTTTTTGACAATATAAACATGGATTTAAAAAGAAGGCAAAATTGGCATTTTTGCAAAGGGGATAGTCCATGATTTTGGTCAAAAAGTTGAAGTTTTTTCATCTTTTGTATTTATCAAAAATAGATGGAGAAAAAGTGTTTGCTGACGTTCTAGATAAAAAAGAAGCATTTAAATACTATAAAAACAACTGTTTACGAAAAACGCAAAATTAGAATTTTTCCAAAGGGGTTAGTCCATTGTTTTGATCAAAAATCAGAGATTTCTTCAACTTTGATTTTTATGCAAAATAGACCAAGAAAAAATATCTGGGAACGTTCTAGTTAGAAAAAAGTTTCTATAATCCTTTGTAACCCCCGGTAACCCCTTGTCACCCCCTGTCACCAATTGTAACCCCTTGTAAGCCACTGTAACCCCTTGTAACCCCTTGTAACCCCCTGTAACCCCCTTTTATAACCCCTGTATTCCCATGTCATAGATCGTTTTTTTCATCTTTTGTATTAATCAAAAATAGATCGAGAAAAAAGTGTTTGCTGACGTTCTAGATAAAAAAAAGAAGCCTTTAAAGACTATAAAAACAACTGTTTAGGAAAAACGCAAAATTAGAATTTTTCCACAGGGGTTAGTCCATCGTTTTGATCAAAAATCAGAGATTTCTTCAACTTTGATTTTTATGCAAAATAGACCAAGAAAAAATATCTGGGAACGTTCTAGTTAGAAAAAAGTTTCTATAATCCTTTGTAACCCCCTGTAATCCCTTGTCACCCCCTGTCACCAATTGTAACCCCTTGTAAGCCACTGTAACCCCTTGTAGCCCCTTGTAACCCCCTGTAACCCCTTTTATAACCCCCTGTATTCCCATGTCATAGATCGTTTTTTCATCTTTTGTATTAATCAAAAATAGATCGAGAAAAAGTGTTTGCTGACGTTCTAGATAAAAAAGAAGCCTTTAAAGACTATAAAAACAACTGTTTACGAAAAACGCAAAATTAGAATTTTTCCACATGGGTTAGTCCATCGTTTTGATCAAAAATTAGAGATTTGATCAACTTTAATTTTTATGAAAAATAGACCAAGAAAAAGTATCTGGGAACGGTCTAGATAGAAAAAAGTTTCCATAATGCTTTTAACCCCCTGTAACCCCTGGGCCCCCCTTTGTCACCCCTTGTAAGCCCTTGTAACCCCATGTAACCCCTTGTAAACCCTTGTAACCCCCTGTAACCTGTATTTATCAAAACTAGATAGAGAAAAAGTGTTTGCTGACGTTCTAGATAAAAAAGAAGCCTTTAAAGACTATAAAAACAACTGTTTACGAAAAACGCAAAATTAGAAATTTTCGAAAGGGGTTAGTCCATCGTTCTGATCAAAAATCAGAGATTTCTTCAACTTTGATTTTTATGCAAAATAGACCAAGAAAAAATATCTGGGAACGTTCTAGTTAGAAAAAAGTTTCTATAATCCTTTGTAACCCCCAGTTACCCCTTGTCACCCCCTGTCACCAATTGTAACCCCTTGTAAGCCACTGTAACCCCTTGTCACCCCTTGTCACCCCTGGTAACCCCCTGTAACCCCTTGTAACCCCTTGTAACCCCTTGTAACCCTTTGTAACCCCTTGTAATCCTCTGTAACCCCTTGTAATCCCCTGTATTCCCATGTCATAGATCGTGAAAATAAATCGTGAAAAAACGATTTTCGACGTTTTATACAGGAAACAAGCCTTTCTGAACAAGAAAAACATCTGTTTCAAAAACCCACAAAATTGGCATTTTTGCAAAAGGGGTTAGTCCATGGTTTTGGTGAAAAATTGGAAATTTTGTAAACGTTTCGTCTTATGCAAAATAGACCCAGAAAAAGTATTTGGAGACGTTCTCGGTAGAAAACAAGCCTGTCTAGACAATATAAACATGGATTAAAAAAGAAGGCAAAATTGGCTTTTTTGCAAAGGGGATAGTCCATGATTTTGGTCAAAAAGTTGAAGTTTTTTCATCTTTTGTATTTATCAAAAATAGATGGAGAAAAAGTGTTTGCTGACGTTCTAGATAGAAAAGAAGCCTTTAAAGACTATAAAAACAACGGTTTACGAAAAACGCAAAATTAGAATTTTTCCAAAGGGGTTAGTCCATCGTTTTGATTAAAAATTAGAGATTTGTTCAACTTTGATTTTTATGCAAAATAGACCAAGAAAAAGTATGTGGGAACGATCTAGTTAGAAAAGAGTTTCTATAATCCTTTGTAACCCCCTGTAACCCCTTGTAATAGCCGGTCACCCCTTGTAACCCCTTGTAACCCCCTGTAACCCCTTGTAACACCTTGTAACCCCCTTTATTCCCATGTCATAGGTCGTGAAAATAAATCGTGAGAAAACGATTTTCGACGTTTTGTATAGCAAACAAGCGTTTCTGAACAAGAAAAACATGGGTTTCAAAAACCCACAAAATTGGCATTTTGGGAACGGGGTTAGTCCATGGTTTTGGTCAAAAAGTTCAATTTTTTCATCTTTTGTATTTATCAAAAATAGATCGAGAAAAAGTGTTTGCTGACGTTCTAAATAAAAAAGAAGGCTTTAAAGACTATAAAAACAACTGTTTACGAAAAACGCAAAATTGGAATTTTTCCAAAAGGGGTAGTTTATGGTTTAGATCAAAAATTAGAGATTTGTTCAACTTTGATTTTTATGCAAAATAGACCAAGAAAAAGTATCTGGGAACCTTCTAGTTAGAAAAAAGTTTCTATAATCCTTTGTAACCCCCTGTAACCCCTTGTCACCCCTTTTCACCCCTTGTAACCCCCTGTAACCCCTTGCAACCCCTTGTAACCCTTTGTAACCCCTTGTAACCCTCTGTAACCCCTTGTAACCCCCTGTATTCCCATGTCATAGATCGTGAAAATAAATCGTGATAAAACGATTTTCGACGTTTTATATAGGAAACAAGCCTTTCTGAACAAGAAAAACATCGGTTTCAAAAACCCACCAAATTGGGATTTTTGGAAAGGGGTTAGTCCATGGTTTTGGTCAAAAATTGGAAATTTTGTGAACGTTTCGTTTTATGCAAAATACACCCAGAAAAAGTATTTGGTGACGTTGTCGTTAGAAAACAAGCCTTTTTGACAATATAAACATGGATTTAAAAAGAAGGCAAAATTGGCATTTTTGCAAAGGGGATAGTCCATGATTTTGGTCAAAAAGTTGAAGTTTTTTCATCTTTTGTATTTATCAAAAATAGATGGAGAAAAAGTGTTTGCTGACGTTCTAGATAAAAAAGAAGCCTTTAAAGACTATAAAAACAACTGTTTACAAAAAACGCAAAATAAGAATTTTTCCAAAGGGGTTAGTCCATCGTTTTGATCAAAAATCAGAGATTTCTTCAACTTTGATTTTTATGCAAAATAGACCAAGAAAAAATATCTGGGAACGTTCTAGTTAGAAAAAAGTTTCTATAATCCTTTGTAACCCCCGGTAACCCCTGGTCACCCCCTGTCACGAATTGTAACCCTTTGTAAGCCACTGTAACACCTTGTAACCCCTTGTAAACCCCTGTAACCCCTTTTATAACCCCCTGTATTCCCATGTCATAGATCGTTTTTTCATCTTTTTTATTAATCAAAAATAGATCGAGAAAAAGGGTTTGCTGACGTTCTAGATAAAAAAGAAGCCTTTAAAGACTATAAAAACAACTGTTTAGGAAAATCGGAAAATTAGAATTTTTCCAAAGGGGTTAGTCCATCGTTTTGATCAAAAATCAGAGATTTCTTCAACTTTGATTTTTATGCAAAATAGACCAAGAAAAAATATCTGGAAACGTTCTAGTTAGAAAAAAGTTTCTATAATCCTTTGTAACCCCCTGTAACCCCTTGTCACCCCCTCTCACCAATTGTAACCCCTTGTAAGCCACTGTAACCCCTTGTAACCCCTTGTAACCCCCTGTAACCCCTTTTATAACCCCCTGTATTCCCATGTCATAGATCGTTTTTTCATCTTTTGTATTAATCAAAAATAGATCGAGAAAAAGTGTTTGCTGACGTTCTAGATAAAAAAGAAGCCTTTAAACACTATAAAAACAACTGTTTAGGAAAAACGCAAAATTAGAATTTTTCCCCAGGGGTTAGTCCATCGTTTTGATCAAAAATCAGAGATTTCTTCAACTTTGATTTTTATGCAAAATAGACCAAGAAAAAATATCTGGGAACGTTCTAGTTAGAAAAAAGTTTCTATAATCCTTTGTAACCCCCTGTAATCCCTTGTCACCCCCTGTCACCAATTGTAACCCCTTGTAAGCCACTGTAACCCCTTGTAACCCCTTGTAACCCCCTGTAACCCCTTTTATAACCCCCTGTATTCCCATGTCATAGATCGTTTTTTCATCTTTTGTATTAATCAAAAATAGATCGAGAAAAAGTGTTTGCTGACGTTCTAGATAAAAAAGAAGCCTTTAAAGACTATAAAAACAACTGTTTACGAAAAACGCAAAATTACAATTTTTCCAAAGGGGTTAATCTATGGTTTTGATCAAAAATTAGAGATTTGTTCAACTTTGATTTTTATGCAAAATAGACGAAGAAAAAGTATCTGGGAACGTTCTAGTTAGAAAAAAGTTTCTATAATCCTTTGTAACCCCGTGTAACCCCTTGTCACCCCCTGTCAGCCGTTTTAACCCCCTGTAACCCCTTGTAACCCCTTGTAACCCCTTGTAACCCCCTGTAACCCCGTGTAACCCCCTGTATTCCCATGTCATAGATCGTGAAAAGAAATCGTGAAAAAATGATTTTCGACGTTTTATATAGCAAACAAGCCTTTCTGAACAAGAAAAACATCGCTTTCAAAAACCCACAAAATTGGCATTTTTGCAAAGGGGTTAGTCCATCGTTTTAATCAAAAATTAGAGATTTGTTAAACTTTAATTTTTATGAAAAATACACCAAGAAAAAGTATCTGGGAACGGTCTAGATAGGAAAAAGTTTCCATAATGCTTTTAACCCCCTGTAACCCCTTGTCACCCCCTGTCACCCCTTGTAAGCCCTTGTAACCCCATGTAACCCCTTGTAACCCCTTGTAACCCCTTGTAACCCTCTGTAACCCCTGGTAACCCCCTGTATTTCCATGTGATAGATCGTGAAAATAAGTCGTGAAAAAACGATTTTCGACGTTTTGTATAGCAAACAAGCCTTTCTGAACAAGAAAAACATCGGTTTCAAAAACCCACAAAATTGGCATTTTTGGAAAGGGGCTAGTCCATGGTTTTGGTCAATAATTGGAAATTTTGAGAACGTTTCGTTTTATGCAAAATACACCCAGAAAAAGTATTTGGTGACGTTCTCGTTAGAAAACAAGCCTTTCTAGACAATATAAACATGGATTAAAAAAGAAGGCAAAATTGGCATTTTTGCAAAGGGGATAGTCCATGATTTTGATCAAAAAGTTGAAGTTTTTTCATCTTTTGTATTTATCAAAAATAGATGGAGAAAAAGTGTTTGCTGTCGTTCTAGATAAAAAAGAAGCCTTTAAAGACTATAAAAACAACTGTTTACGAAAAACGCAAAATTAGAATTTTTCCAAAGGGGTTAACCCATTGTTTTGATCAAAAATTAGAGATTTCTTTAACTTTGAGTTTTATGAGAAATAGACCAAGAAAAAGTATCTGGGAACGTTCTAGTTAGAAAAAAGTTTGTATAATCCTTTGTAACCCACTGTACCCCTTTATCACCCCCTGTCACCCCTTGTGACCCCTTGTAACTCCCTGTAACCCCTTGTAACCCCTTGTAACCCCTTGTAACCCCCTGTAACCCCTTGTAACCCCCTGTATTACCATGTCATAGATCGTAAAAATAAATCGTGAAAAAACGATTTTCTACGTTTTATATAGCAAAGAAGCCTTTCTGAACAAGAAAAACATCGGTTTCAAAAACCCACAAAATTGGCATTTTTGCAGAGGGGTTAGTCCGTGGTTTTGGTCAAAAATTGGAAATTTTGTGAACGTTTCGTCTTATGCAAAATACACCCAGAGAAAGTATTTGGTGACGTTCTCGTTAGGAAACAAGCCTTTCTAGACAATATAAACATGGATTTAAAAAGAAGGCAAAATTGGCCTTTTTGGAAAGGGGATAGTCGATGATTTTGGTCAAAAAGTTGAAGTTTTTTCATCTTTTGTATTTATCAAAAATAGATGGAGAAAAAGTGTTTGCTGACGTTCTAGATAAAAAAGAAGCCTTTAAAGACTATAAAAACAACTGTTTACGAAAAACGCAAAATTAGAATTTTTCCAAAGGGGTTAACCCATCGTTTTAATCGAAAATTAGACATTTCTTTAACTTTGATTTTTATGAAAAATAGACCAAGAAAAAGTATGTGGGAACGTTCTAGTTAGAAAAAAGTTTCTATACTCCTTTTTAACCCACTGTAACCCTTTATTACCCCCTGTCACCCCTTGTAACCCCCTGTATTCCGATGTCATAGATCGTGAAAATAAATCGTGAAAAAACGATTTTGGACGTTTTATAAAGCAAACAAGCCTTTCTGAACAAGAAAAACAACGGTTTCAAATACCCGCAAAATTGGGATTTTTGGAAAGGGATTAGTCCATGGGTTTGGTCAAAAATTGGAAATTTTGTAAACGTTTCGTTTTATGCAAAATAGACCCAGAAAAAGTATTTGGAGACGTTCTCGTTAGAAAACAAGCCTGTCTAGACAATATAAACATGGATTTAAAAAGAAGGCAAAATTGGCTTTTTTGCAAAGGGGATAGTCCATGATTTTGGTCAAAAAGTTGACGTTTTTTCATGTTTTGTATCTATCAAAAATAGATAAAGAAAAAGTGTTTGCTGACGTTCTAAATAAAAAAGAAGCCCTTAAAGACTATAAAAACAACTGTTTACGAAAAACGCAAAATTAGAATTTTTCCAAAGGGGTTAACCCATTGTTTTGATCAAAAATTAGAGATTTCTTCAACTTTGATTTTTATGAGAAATAGTCCAAGAAAAAGTATGTGGGAACGTTCTAGTTAGAAAAAAGTTTGTATAGTCCTTTTTAACCCACTGTACCCCTTTATCACCCCCTGTCACCCCTTGTGACCCCTTGTAACTCCCTGTAACCCCTTGTAACCCCTTGTAACCCCTTGTAACCCCCTGTAACCCCTTGTAACCCCCTGTATTCCCATGTCATAGATCGTGAAAATAAATCGTGAAAAAACGATTTTCGACGTTTTATATAGCAAAGAAGTCTTTCTGAAAAAGAAAAACATCGGTTTCAAAAACCCACAAAATTGGCATTTTTGCAAAGGGGTGAGTCCATTGTTATGGTCAAAAATTGGAAATTTTGTGAAGGTTTCGTTTTATGCAAAATAGTCCCAGAAAAAGTATTTGGTGACGTTGTCGTTAGAAAACAAGCCTTTTTAGACAATATAAACATGGATTTAAAAAGAAGGCAAAATTGGCATTTTTGCAAAGGGGATAGTCCATGATTTTGGTCAAAAAGTTGAAGTTTTTTCATGTTTTGTATTTATCAAAAATAGATGGAGAAAACGTGTTTGCTGACGTTCTAGATAAAAAAGAAGCCTTTAAAGACTATAAAAACAACTGTTTACGAAAAACGCAAAATTAGAATTTTTCCAAAGGGGTTAGTCTATCGTTTTGATCAAAAATCAGAGATTTCTTCAACTTTGATTTTTATGCAAAATAGACGAAGAAAAAGTATCTGGGAACGTTCTAGTTAGAAAAAAGTTTCTATAATCCTTTGTAACCCCCTGTAACCCCTTGTCACCCCCTGTCACCAATTGTAACCCCTTGTAACCCCTTGTAATCCCCTGAAACCCTTTTTATAACCCCCTGTATTCCCATGTTATAGATCGTTTTTTCATCTTTTGTATTAATAAAAAATAGATCGAGAAAAAGTGTTTGCTGACGTTCTAGATAAAAAAGAAGCCTTTAAAGACTATAAAAACAACTGTTTACCAAAAATGCAAAATTAGAATTTTTCCAAAGGGGTTAGTCCATCGTTTTGATCAAAAATTAGAGATTTGATCAACTTTAATTTTTATGCAAAATAGACCAAGAAAAAGTATCTGGGAACGGTCTAGATAGAAAAAAGTTTCCATAATGCTTTTAACCCCCTGTAACCCCTTTTCACCCCCTGTCACCCCTTGTAAGCCCTTGTAACCCCCTGTAACCCCTTGTAACCCCTTGTAACCCTCTGTAACCCCTTGTAACCCCCTGTATTTCCATGTCATAGATCGTTAAAATAAGTCGTGAAAAAAGATTTTCGACGTTTTGTATAGCAAACAAGCCTTTCTGAACAAGAAAAACATCGGTTTCAAAAACCCACAAAATTGGCATTTTTGGAAAGGGGTTAGTCCATGGTTTTGGTCAAAAATTGGAAATTTTGAGAACGTTTCGTTTTATGCAAAATACACCCAGAAAAAGTATTTGGTGACGTTGTCGTTAGAAAACAATGCTTTCTGGACAATATAAACATGGATTTAAACAGAAGGGAAAATTGGCATTTTTGCAAAGGGGATAGTCCATGATTTTGGTCAAAAAGTTGAAGTTTTTTCATCTTTTGTATTTATCAAAAATAGATGGAGAAAAAGTGTTTGCTGACGTTCTAGATAAAAAAGAAGCCTTTAAAGACTATAAAAACAACTGTTTACGAAAAACGCAAAATTAGAATTTTTCCAAAGGGGTTAGTCCATCGTTTTGATCAAAAATCAGAGATTTGTTCAACGTTGATTTTTATGCAAAATAGACCAAGAAAAAGTATCTGAGAACGTTCTAGTTAGAAAAAAGTTTCTATAATCCTTTGTAACCCCCTGTAACCCCTTGTCACCCCCTGTCACCAATTGTAACCCCTTGTAAGCCACTGTAACCCCTTGTAACCCCTTGTAACCCCCTGTAACCCCTTTTATAACCCCCTGTATTCCCATGTCATAGATCGTTTTTTCATCTTTTGTATTAATCAAAAATAGATCGAGAAAAAGTGTTTGCTGACGTTCTAGATAAAAAAGAAGCCTTTAAAGACTATAAAAACAACTGTTTACGAAAAACGCAAAATTATAATTTTTCCAAAGGGGTTAACCCATCGTTTTGATCAAAAATTAGAGATTTCTTCAACTTTGATTTTTATGAGAAATAGACCAAGAAAAAGTATCTGGGAACGTTCTAGTTAGAAAAAAGTTTCTATAATCCTTTGTAACCCACTGTAACCCTTTATCACCTCCTGTCACCCCTTGTGACCCCTTGTAATTCCCTGTAACCCCTTGTAACCCCTTGTAACCCCTTGTAACCCCCTGTATTCCCATGTCATAGTTCGTGAAAATAAATCGTGAAAAAACGATTTTCGACGTTTTATAAAGCAAACAAGCCTTTCTGAACAAGAAAAACATCGGTTTCAAAGACCCACAAAATTGGGATTTTTGGAAAGGGGTTAGTCCATGGTTTTGGTCAAAAATTGGAAATTTTGAGAACGTTTCGTTTTATGCAAAATAGACCCAGAAAAAGTATTTGCAGACGTTCTCGTTAGAAAACAAGCCTTTCTAGACAATATAAACATGGATTAAAAAAGAAGGCAAAATTGGCATTTTTGCAAAGGGGATAGCCCATGATTTTGGTCAAAAAGTTGAAGTTTTTTCATCTTTTGTATTTATCAAAAATAGATGGAGAAAAAGTGTTTGCTGACGTTCTAGATAAAAAAGAAGCCTTTAAAGACTATAAAAACAACTGTTTACGAAAAACGCAAAATTAGAATTTTTCCGAAGGGGTTAGTCTATCGTTTTGATCAAAAATTAGAGATTTGTTCAACGTTGATTTTTATGCAAAATAGACCAAGAAAAAGTATCTGGGAACGTTCTAGTCAGAAAAAAGGTTCTATAATCCTTTGTAACCCCCTGTAACCCCTTGTCACCCCCTGTCACCCCTTGTAACCCCTTTTAACCCCCTGTTGTGAACATGTTTATATAATTTATGTTAATTTATTGATGTCTGCGTAATATTGTAGTCACTTGATCTTATTACACCATCAAGTAACCCGAGACGCGGGAATATTTTTGTCAGTAAGCAATTTCGATTTCGATTATTAAACATGATCAGTTGTGTTTACTAAATGGCGCCCAACGTGGGGCATAGTTTCGATCGCAATGCCTCCCAAAAAGGGTAAACCGAAGTCAAAAACACACGAGATATCAAGTACATCGAGTATGCAAGCGAATACATCGAATTTGGAACGACTGCGAGTTATACGTGAAGGACACCGACGATATGTATCGAAACTGGATCAAGAATTCACCGAAATGTTGCAAAGCGAAGACAAGGATTACGAACGGCTCAATGTTATGAGACAACTCTTGGATGGAAAACAAGAGTCGCTTAGCGAAATGGACCAAGAGATATTATCTTTATGCGAAGTTACAACGATTGATAAAGAAATCGAAGAGTCAGAAGAATTTACTGCCTCAATTATACGTCTAAAATGCAAAATCGAGAATGCGAGCAAGGTGAACATGCCAACCCAGCAACACGTGGGATCTCCTCAAACGACATCACAGCCAGTGAATCAAAATGCAGTCCTTGTAAGATTACCGAAGTTGTACCTGCCGAAGTTTAGAGGAGATGTGACCAAGTGGAATATCTTCTGGGATTCATTTCAATCGGCGGTTCATCGTAACGAAGGGATTTCCAACATCGACAAGTTCAACTACCTCAATTCTGTCCTTGAAGGGGCCGCCGCTCGAGCTATTCAGGGTCTTACCTTAACCGAAGCGAACTACAACGCAGCAGTCAAATTATTACAAGAACGTTTCGGGCGTCCCCAACAAATTATCAGCGCACATATGGATCAGCTTCTCAAGGTTTCGCCGTGTTCTAATGATCGCCCAGCCAGTCTTCGATACGTCTACGATCAAATTTGTGTTCATTCCCGCGGTTTGGCATCGCTCGGCGTAACTTCAGATCAATATGGAAGTCTCCTAATTCCTGTTATTATGTCAAAGTTGCCATCTGAGATTCGATTGCAGATAGCCAGGAACTCTAAGGATTCTGTATGGAAAATGGAGGAGTTGCTAAACGTGATAAAGGTTGAAGTCGAAGCGCGGGAAGCAAGCGAGATGACCATGGCGAAAACAAGCGAAGGCGGGAAAGTTCAACCACCCGGCCGTGATTCAAAGTTTCGAAATCAAACGCCAACCGCGAATTCACTCGTCTCTCAGCAAGGTGGGAATTTCAAAATCAAATGTGCCTATTGTCAAAACGAGCATTTCTCTGCATCATGTGGTGTGGTAAAAGATACCGCTCAACGAAGAAGTATTTTGGAAAGGGATAAACGATGCTTCAATTGTTTGCGTTTTGATCACTGTGCGAAAGACTGCACGAATCCCAAAAAATGCCGACACTGCCAGCAGCGGCATCATCAGTCGATTTGTTCAATGCTTGACCAAGGGAAACCGAAACCAAAAGAAGTTTCAGCCGAAGAGACAACGACAACAACAACAGTGAGCAACAAGGCAAAGGGAACTGTGCTCTTACAAACAGCGAAAGCCATGGCTGTCAATGTTGTCAGTTCTAAAGCCGCACCAGTTAGAATACTTTTGGATACCGGAAGTCAACGCACCTACATCACAACCAGATTGAAATCGAGGCTTAATCTGTCCCCTGTCAAGTCAGAAACATTGCATCTTAACACCTTTGGAGACGAAAGATATACGAAGCAACAATGTGATGTTGTGAACTTGCGGTTGCAAGGATCTCAAGGAGAAATCAAGATATCTGCACTATGTTTCCCGAAGATTTGCTCGGCGGTGTCAGCTAAAGTTAACATCGACAATCACGTACATCTGCAAGGTCTCGAGCTTGCTGACATGAGCATTGCTGAAACAGGTCAACAGGACATAGATGTGCTAATTGGATCTGATTATTATTTCGATATTGTGTCTGGGGATGTCATTCGTGGCTGCAGTGGTCCCGTAGCAGTTAGCAGCATGTTCGGATGGGTCTTGTCTGGTCCCACAAGTGCTGAAGAATCAAGAGAGAAGTTTGCAACTACAAATCTCATCATAGAGAGGCCGGAATTGATGACCTTGAGCCCATTTGACATCAGTCATAGTGAGAACGATGAGTTATGTAATGCCTTGCAGAAATTCTGAGACATTGAGTCATTAGGAGTACGAGAGTCGCCACCCGTGTCACAGTCAGATGGTGGAGAGTTCCTGGAGAGTATTCATTTCAATGAGAATGAAGGAAGATACGAAGTTGGTCTGCCTTGGAAGGAAGGCCTTGTTCCTGCTTCAAACGAGTACGAATTGTGTGTTACAAGATTGAGACAGCTTCACTCGCGACTGAAGAAAAACAAGGAACTATTGAGAGATTATGACAATGTGACCAAGGATCAAGTCAAATCCGGGATAATCGAAGCCGTACCAGAACACAACTACGACCAAGCTCCAATGCATTTCTTACCTCATCATGGCGTAATTCGGTCGAACCGGGAAACTACAAAATTGAGAGTTGTATTTGATGGTTCAGCCAAATCTGACAAGTCAACTGCTTCAATTAACGAGTGTTTAGAGAAAGGACCGAACTTAGTGCCACACCTATTTGATATTGTGGTTAAGTTTCGAGGGTATCCAATTCCTGTAGTAGCTGACATCGAAAAGGCCTTCCATCAGATACAGATCAACTCAGAAGACAGAAGTATGCTGAGGTTTCTATGGTTCGATGACATTGAGAAAGATCGTCCGCAAATCAAGCAATACCAGTTTCGAAGGCTTGTGTTTGGCTTAACTCCAAGTCCAGCTATCCTGGCAAGTACCATAAAACTCCATCTGTCCAAGTACAAAGAAAAGGAACCAGAAGTAACATCTTTGTTAAGTTCCAGCTTCTATGTTGATGATCTGGCAGGAGGAGTGTTTCGCGAGAATGAAACTGTGAACTTGTACGACAAAGCACAGGAAATCATGAAAGATGGAGGATTCTCACTGCGTAAGTGGAATTCTAACTGTCGGTCCTTCCGCGAAAAAATCAAGCAGGATGAAGAAAGAAGAGGACCGTCAGTTTGGGAATCCCCTCCCAAAGAAAGTGAAAGTACACAAAATCTCAAGAAAGAAGAGTCATCGAGTGCCAAAGATGATAAACTGGAAACAGAGCAATTGGTGAAGATTCTCGGAATTTACTGGGATGTCATTCGAGATGAATTTCGCTATGACCTCTCTGAGTTGATTGAGTACGCAGAAGCTCTTCCAGCTACCAAACGATGTGTTTTGAAACTGTCAGCCAAAATCTTTGATCCGATTGGACTGTTAACTCCATTTACAATAAGCATGAAAGTCCTTTTTCAAGATTTATGTGTTGAGAGGGTCAATTGGGATGAAAACTTGGAAGGAGAAGCTTTAGCGAAGTGGAAAACGTTCATTAATGACCTAAATGCTCTGAAGAACATTCGAGTTCCCCGATGTTATGCCAATTACTCACCAGCGCAGTCAGCAGTATGCTCCTATCAGATCCATAGATTTTCAGATGCGTCGAAAAGAGCCTATGCAGCTGTTGTGTACCTGAGAACCGCATTCAGCAATGGTGAAATCCAAGTCAACATCATGACATCCAAGACGAGAGTAGCGCCGAGTAAACGTCTGTCAATTCCCAGGTTGGAACTGCTAGGAGCTGCATTGCTAGCCCAACTAGTTCACTCAACGCAGCAAACGTTACAATCCGTTCTTCCAATTGAAGGAACATTTTTGTGGACCGATTCATTCACCACGCTGTGTTGGATAAAAAATGCCAAAGCATGGAAACCTTACATACAACACCGGGTCAGCAGGATACGAGAACTAACTAACGAAGCCAACTGGAATTTCTGTCCCGGGGAGTTGAACCCCGCTGATCTACCATCACGAGGATGTGGAGGAGAGCAATTAGCACAAAACCAGACACGGTGGAATGGGCCCAAGTTTCTGAAGTTAGTGAGAGAACATTGGCCTGAGTCGCCCCAAACAAGTGCTTTGTCTGATGACGAAGAAGCCCTTCAAGAAGTTCTAAAAAGCCCTGTGAGTGTCACGCACTCTCTGGTCACGAAAGAGTCAGAAGACCATTCAATCAATCTCAGTCAAGTCATTGATATTGAACGATACTGCAGTGTAACACGATTATTCCGCGTGACAGCCTACCTATTACGGTTCATAGGTAATGCGAAGAACAGTGTATCAAACCGTGAAACTCACAAGCTACCAGAACATTCGTCAAAAAGGGAACTTAATGCTCAAGAGTTAAATCAAGCTGAAATGCTGTGGATCAAGACTGTACAGAAAGCCTCATTTGCCAAAGAACTCGAATTTCTTCAAAGCAAAAGGGGAACATTTCCACCCGTCTATGTCACGCAATTCAACTTGTTCCTTGACAACCAACAAATCATCAGATGCAAGGGGAGAGTAAACAATGCACCGCTCTCTGAAGAAAGCAAGAATCCAATCTTACTTCCGTCTAAACACCCACTAACTAGTCTCATCATCCAGGATGTGCACTCCAAGATTAAACACAGTGGTATCAAGGACACCTTAACCACTATTCGAGGACGATTCTGGGTACCAAGAGGTCGAGAAGTTGTGAAGAAAATTGTAAGAAAATGTACCATCTGTAGAAGAGTAGAAGGAGCTCCATACAGACCACCACCGAGTCCAGATTTACCACTGGAACGAGTGTCTCTAGACCCGCCGTTTTCCCACACAGGATTAGGTCCTTTGTACATACGTGATGGAAGCTCTTCAAAAGAAACGGGCTCCGACAAGGTGTACATTTGTTTATTTCACTTGCGCTTCCACGAGAGCGATTCATTTGGAACTGACGCCTTCTCTGAGCGTTGATTCATTTCTGTTGGCCTTTCGTAGGTTCGTTAGTCGCCGGGGATTACCAGTCACCCTTCTGTCTGACAATGCCAAAACCTTCAGATCCGCATCCAAAGATATAAGGAAGATCATACAATCAGACGAGGTTACGCGATACTTAACTGACAATCGCATCACATGGAACTTTATCGTTGAGCGAGCTCCTTGGTGGGGGGATTTTTGGGAACGGATGGTTAAAGTTGTGAAGCAACCATTGAAGAAAACAGTGGGACGCTCTACGTTAAACTATGATGACCTACAAACCACAATGGTGGAGATCGAAGCAATCGTAGATGCACGACCGTTAACATATGTCTATGATGATGAAGAGTCAGTTTCCACTCCACTTACGCCATCTCATCTAATTACTGGTAGACGAATTACTAGTGCACCAAGTAACCAGCATTTCGAAGTTGTTAGTGTTAATCAGACCTTGACAAAGAGAGCTAAGCATCACCAACGATTACTGCATCAGTTCACCAAGAGATGGCAGCACGAGTATCTTTTGAGTCTACGAGAGCGCTCTAATGAGAGATGTAAGAAGCAAAACAAGGAGAGCCCAATCTCAGTAGGTGACATTGTGATCGTGAAGTCTGATCTGACGAAAAGAACATTTTGGAAACTGGCAAAGGTTCAAGAACTGTTACCGGGTAGAGATGGTCAGATTCGATCAGCAAAGGTCAAGGTTGCTGGCAAAGGGGATCGAAAGCCACAAGTATTACGTAGAGTGATACAGGACTTAATTCCTGTTGAAGTTTCTGAGTGAACATTGAACTGAACTGTACATGAGATGAACTCAAAATTGGGTCTTTTCAAACAGTGAACTTTGTAGACGACGAAGCTCTTTTGACATTTATTAAATAGTGGACATTCAAGATTTATACTGTTGAGTCAAAGCGTTTTATCACGAAGTCGTGATGCAACCCTGGGGAGTGTTGTGAACATTTTTATATAATTTATGTTAATTTATTGATGTCTGCGTAATATTGTAGTCACGTGATCTTATTGCACCATCAAGTAACCCGAGACGCGGGAATATTTTTGTCAGTAAGCAATTTCGATTTCGACTATTAAACATGATCAGTTGTGTTTACTAAACCCTGTAACCCCTTGTAACCCCTTGTAACCCCTTGTAACCCTCTGTAACCCCTTGTAACCCCCTGAATTCCCATGTCATAGATCGTGAAAATAAATCGTGAAAAAACGATTTTCGACGTTTTATATAGCAAAGAAGCCTTTCTGAACAAGAAAAACATCGGTTTCAAAAACCCACAAAATTGGCATTTTTGGAAAGGGGTTAGTCCATGGTTTTGGTCAAAAATTGGAAATTTTGTGAACGTTTCGTTTTATGCAAAATACACCCAGAAAAAGTATTTGTTGACGTTGTCGTTAGAAAACAAGCCTTTCTAGACGATATAAACATGGATTCAAAAAGAAGGCAAAATTGGCATTTTTGCAAAGGGGATAGTCCATGATTTTGGTCAAAAAGTTGAAGGTTTTTCATCTTTTGTAGTTATCAAAAATAGATCGAGAAAAAGTGTTTGCTGACGTTCTAAATAAAAAAGAAGGCTTTAAAGACTATAAAAACAACTGTTTACGAAAAACGCAAAATTAGAATTTTTCCAAAGGGGTTCGTCCATGGTTTTGATCAAAAATTAGACATTTGTTCAACTTTGATTTTTATGCAAAATAGACCAAGAAAAAGTATCTGGGAACTTTCTAGTTAGAAAAAAGTTTCTATAATCCTTTGTAACCCCCTGTAACCCCTTGTCACCCCTGTCACCCCTTGTAACCCCTTGTAACCCCCTGTAACCCCTTGTAACCCCTTGTAACACCTTGTAACCCTTTGTAACCCCTTGTAACCCTCTGTAACCCCTTGTAACCCCCTGTATTCCCATGTCATAGATCGTAAAAATAACTCGTGAAAAAACGATTTTCGATGTTTTATATAGGAAACAAGCCTTTCTGAACAAGAAAAACATCGGTTTCAAAAACCCACAAAATTGGCATTTTTGCAAAGGGGTTAGTCCATGGTTTTGGTCAAAAAATGGAAATTTTGTGAACGTTTCGTCTTATGCAAAATACACCCAGAAAAAGTATTTGGTGATGTTCTCGTTAGAAAACAATCCTCTTTAGACAATATAAACATGGATTTAAAAAGAACGCAAAATTGGCATTTTTGCAAAGGGGATAGTCCATGATTTTGGACAAAAAGTTGAAGTTTTTTCATCTTTTGTATTTATCAAAAATAGATGGAGAAAAAGTGTTTGCTGACGTTTTAGATAAAAAGGAAGCCTTTAAAGACTATAAAAACAACTGTTTACGAAAAACGCAAAATAAGAACTTTTTCCAAACGGGTTAGTCCATCGTTTTGATCAAAAATTAGAGATTTGTTGAACTTTGATTTTTATGCAAAATAGACCAAGAAAAAGTATCTGGGAACGTTCTAGTTAGAAAAAAGTTTCTATAATCCTTTGTAACCCCTTGTAACCCCTTGTCACCCACTCTCACCCCTTGTAACCCCTTGTAACCCCCTGTAACCCCTTGTAACCCCTTGCAACTTCTTGTATCCCTCTGTAACCCCTTGTAACCCCCTGTAACCCCTTGTAACCCCTTGTAACCCCTTGTAACCCTTTGTAACCCCTTGTAACCCTCTGTAACCCCTTGTAACCCCCTGTATTCCCATGTCATAGATCGTAAAAATAAGTCGTGAAAAAACGATTTTCGATGTTTTATAAAGGAAACAAGCCTTTCTGAACAAGAAAAACATCGGTTTCAAAAATCCACAAAATTGACATTTTTGCAAAAGGGTTAGTCCATGGTTTTGGTCAAAAATTGGAAATTTTTTGAACGTTTCGTTTTATGCAAAATACACCCAGAAAAAGTATTTGGTGACGTTGTCGTTAGAAAACAAGCCTTTCTAGACAATATAAACATGGATTTAAAAAGAAGGCAAAATTGGCATTTTTGCAAAGGGGATAGTCCATGATTTTGGTCAAAAAGTTGAGGTTTTTTCTTTTTTTGTATTTATCAAAAATAGATGGAGAAAAAGTGTTTGCTGACGTTCTAGATAAAAAAGAAGCCTTTAAATAATATAAAAACAACTGTTTACGAAAAACGCAAAATTAGAATTTTTCCAAAGAGGGGTAGTTTATGGTTTAGATCAAAAATTAGAGATTTCTTCAACTTTGATTTTTATGCAAAATAGACCAAGAAAAAGTATCTGGGAACGTTCTAGTTAGAAAAAAGTTTCTATAATCCTTTGTAACCCCTTGTAACCCCTTGTCACCCACTCTCACACCTTGTAACCCCTTGTAACCCCCTGTAACCCCTTGTAACCCCTTGCAACTTCTTGTATCCCTCTGTAGCTCCTTGTAACCCCCTGTAACCCCTTGTAACCCCCTGTATTGCCCATGTCTTAGATCGTGAAAATAAATCGTGAAAAAACGATTTTCGACATTTTATATAGCAAAGAAGCCTTTCTGAACAAGAAAAACATCGGTTTCAAAAACCCACAAAGTTGGTATTTTTGCAAAGGGGTTAGTCCATGGTTTTGGTGAAAAATTGGAAATTTTGTGAACGTTTCGTTTTACGCAAAATACACCCAGAAAAAGTATTTGGTGACGTTCTCGTTAGAAAACAAGCCTTTCTAGACAATATAAACATGGATTTAAAAAGAAGGCAAAATTGGCATTTTTGCAAAGGGGATAGTCCATGATTTTGGTCAAAAAGTTAAAGTTTTTTCATCTTTTGTATTTATCAAAAATAGATGGAGAAAAAGTGTTTGCTGACGTTTTAGATAAAAAGGAAGCCTTTAAAGACTATAAAAACAACTGTTTACGAAAAACGCAAAATTAGAATTTTTCCAAAGAGGTTAGTCCATCGTTTTGATCAAAAATTAGAGATTTCTTCAACTTTGATTTTTATGCAAAATAGACCAAGAAAAAGTATCTGGGAACGTTCTAGTCAGAAAAAAGTTTCTATAAACCTTTGTGACCCCCTGTAACCCCTTGTTACCCAATGTCACCCCTTGTAACCCCTTGTAACCCCATGTAACCCCTTGTAATCCCTTGTAACCCTCTGTAACCCCTTGTAACCCCTTGTAACCCTTTGTAACCCCTTGTAACCCTCTGTATTCCCATGTCATAGATCGTAAAAATAAATCGTGAAAAAATGATTTTTGACATTTTATATAGCAAACAAGCCTTTCTGAAGAAGAAAAACATCGGTTTCAAAAACCCACAAAATTGGCATTTTTGCAAAGGGGTTAGTCCATGGTTCTGGGAACGTTCTAGATAGAAAAAAGTATCTATAAATCTTTTGTAACCCCTTGTATCACCCCCTGTCACCCCTTGTAACCCGCTGTAACCCATTGTAACCCCTTGTAACCTTTTGTAACCCTCTGTAACCCTTTGTAACTCCCTGTATTCCCATGTAATAGATCGTGAAATTAAAACGTAAAAAAACGATTTTCGACGTTTTGTATAGCAAACAAGCCTTTCTGAACAAGAAAAACATCGGTTTCAAAAACCCACAAAATTGGCATTTTTGCAAAGGGGTTAGTCCATGGTTTTGGTCAAAAATTGGAAATTTTGTGAACGTTTCGTTTTATGTAAAATTCACCCAGAAAAAGTATTTGGTGACGTTCTCGTTAGAAAACAAGCCTTCTAGACAATATAAACATGGATTTAAAAAGAAGGCGAAATTGGCATTTTTGCAAAGGGGATAGTCCATGATTTTGGACAAAAAGTTAAAGTTTTTTCATCTTTTGTATTTATCAAAAATAGATGGAGAAAAAGTGTTTGCTGACGTTCTAGATAAAAAAGAAGCCTTTAAAGACTATAAAAACAACTGTTTACGAAAAACGCAAAATTAGAATTTTTCCAAAGGGGTTAGTCCATCGTTTTGATCAAAAATTAGAGATTTGTTGAACTTTGATTTTTATGCAAAATAGACCAAGAAAAAGTATCTGGGAACGTTCTAGTTAGAAAAAAGTTTCTATAATCCTTTGTAACCCCTTGTAACCCCTTGTCACCCACTCTCACCCCTTGTAACCCCCTGTAACCCATTGTAACCCCTTGCAACTTCTTGTATCCCTCTGTAGCCCCTGTAACCCCCTGTAACCCCTTGTAACCCCTTGTAACCCCTTGTAACCCCTTGTAACCCTTTGTAACCCCTTGTAACCCTCTGTAACCCCTTGTAACCCCCTGTATTCCCATGTCATAGATCGTAAAAATAAGTCGTGAAAAAACGATTTTCGATGTTTTATATAGGAAACAAGCCTTTCTGAACAAGAAAAACATCGGTTTCAAAAACCCACAAAATTGGCATTTTTGCAAAGGGGTTAGTCCATGGTTTTGGTCAAATATTGGAAATTTTGTGAACGTTTCGTTTTATGCAAAATACACCCAGAAAAAGTATTTGTTGACGTTGTCGTTAGAAAACAAGCCTTTCTAGACAATATAAACATGGATTTAAAAAGAAGGCGAAATTGGCATTTTTGCAAAGGGGATAGTCCATGATTTTGGTCAAAAAGTTGAGGTTTTTTCTTTTTTTGTATTTATCAAAAATAGATGGAGAAAAAGTGTTTGCTGACGTTCTAGATAAAAAAGAAGCCTTTAAAGACTATAAAAACAACTGTTTACGAAAAACGCAAAATTAGAATTTTTTTCAAAAGGGGTAGTTTATGGTTTAGATCAAAAATTAGAGATTTCTTCAACTTTGATTTTTATGCAAAATAGACCAAGAAAAAGTATCTGGGAACGTTCTAGTTAGAAAAAAGTTTCTATAATCCTTTGTAACCCCTTGCAACCCCTTTTCACCCACTCTCACTCCTTGTAACCCCTTGTAACCCCATGTAACCCCTCGTAATCCCTTGTAACCCTCTGTAACCCCTTGTAACCCCTTGTAACCCTTTATAACCCCTTTTAACCCCCTGTAACCCCTTGTAACCCCCTGTATTGCCCATGTCTTAGATCGTGAAAATAAATCGTGAAAAAACGATTTTCGACATTTTATATAGCAAAGAAGCCTTTCTGAACAAGAAAAACATCGGTTTCAAAAACCCACAAAGTTGGTATTTTTGCAAAGGGGTTAGTCCATGGTTTTGGTGAAAAATTGGAAATTATATGAACGTTCCGTTTTACGCAAAATACACCCAGAAAAAGTATTTGGTGACGTTCTCGTTAGAAAACAAGCCTTTCTAGACAATATAAACATGGATTTAAAAAGAAGGCAAAATTGGCATTTTTTCAAAGGGGATAGTCCATGATTTTGGTCAAAAAGTTAAAGTTTTTTCATCTTTTGTATTTATCAAAAATAGATGGAGAAAAAGTGTTTGCTGACGTTCTAGATAAAAAGGAAGCCTTTAAAGACTATAAAAACAACTGTTTACGAAAAACGCAAAATTAGAATTTTTCCAAAGAGGTTAGTCCATCGTTTTGATCAAAAATTAGAGATTTCTTCAACTTTGATTTTTATGCAAAATAGACCAAGAAAAAGTATCTGGGAACGTTCTAGTCAGAAAAAAGTTTCTATAAACCTTTGTGACCCCCTGTAACCCCTTGTTACCCAATGTCACCCCTTGTAACCCCGTGTAACCCCATGTAACCCCTCGTAATCCCTTGTAACCCTCTGTAACCCCTTGTAACCCCTTGTAACCCTTTGTAACCCCTTGTAACCCCCTGTATTCCCATGTCATAGATCGTAAAAATAAATCGTGAAAAAATGATTTTTGACGTTTTATATAGCAAACAAGCCTTTCTGAAGAAGAAAAACATCGGTTTCAAAAACCCACAAAATTGGCATTTTTGCAAAGGGGTTAGTCCATGGTTCTGGGAACGTTCTAGATAGAAAAAGTATCTATAAATCTTTTGTAACCCCTTAAAAACAAGTAACCCCTTATAAAACATTGTAACCCGCTGTAACCCATTGTAACCCCTTTGTAACCCATTGATTTTGTAACCCCTTGTAACCCCCTATTTATGTAACCCCCCTTTGTAACCCCCTGTATTCCCATGTCATAGATCGTGAAAATAGACCGTGAAAAAACGATTTTCGACGTTTTATATAGGAAACAAGCCTTTCTGAACAAAAAAGAAATATCGGTTTCAAAAACCCAAAAAATTGAGATTTTTGCAAAGGGGTTAGTCCATGGTTTTGGTCAAAAATTGGAAATTTTGTGAACGTTTCGTTTTATGCAAAATACACCCAGAAAAAGTATTTGGTGACGTTCTCGTTAGAAAACAAGCCTTTCTAGACAATATAAACATGGATTTAAAAAGAAGGCAAAATTGGCATTTTTGCAAAGGGGATAGTCCATGATTTTGGTCAAAAAGTTGAGGTTTTTTCTTTTTTTGTATTTATCAAAAATAGATGGAGAAAAAGTGTTTGCTGACGTTCTAGATAAAAAGGAAGCCTTTAAAGACTATAAAAACAACTGTTTACGAAAAACGCAAAATTAGAATTTTTTTCAAAAGGGGTAGTTTATGGTTTAGATCAAAAATTAGAGATTTCTTCAACTTTGATTTTTATGCAAAATAGACCAAGAAAAAGTATCTGGGAACGTTCTAGTTAGAAAAAAGTTTCTATAATCCTTTGTAACCCCTTGCAACCCCTTTTCACCCACTCTCACTCCTTGTAACCCCTTGTAACCCCATGTAACCCCTCGTAATCCCTTGTAACCCTCTGTAACCCCTTGTAACCCCTTGTAACCCTTTATAACCCCTTTTAACCCCCTGTAACCCCTTGTAACCCCCTGTATTGCCCATGTCTTAGATCGTGAAAATAAATCGTGAAAAAACGATTTTCGACATTTTATATAGCAAAGAAGCCTTTCTGAACAAGAAAAACATAGGTTTCAAAAACCCACAAAGTTGGTATTTTTGCAAAGGGGTTAGTCCATGGTTTTGGTGAAAAATTGGAAATTTTGTAAACGTTTCGTTTTATGCAAAATACACCCAGAAAAAGTATTTGGTGACGTTCTTGTTAGTAAACAAGCCTTTCTAGACAATATAAACATGGATTTAAAAAGAAGGCAAAATTGGCATTTTTGCAAAGGGAACAGTCCATAATTTTGGTCAAAAAGTTGAAGTTTTTTTATCTTTTGTATTTATCAAAAATAGATCGAGAAAAAGTGTCTGCTGACGTTATAGATAAAAAAAGAAGCCTTTAAATACTATAAAAACAACTATCTACGAAAAACGCAAAATTAGAATTTTTCCAAAGGGGTTAGTCCATCGTTTTGATCAAAAATTAGAGATTTCTTCAACTTTGATTTTTATGCAAAATAGACCAAGAAAAAGTATCTGGGAACGTTCTAGTTAAAAAGAAATGTTTCTATAATCCTTTGCAACCCCCTGTAACCCCTTGTCACCCCTGTCACCCCTTTGTTACCCAATGTCACCCCTTGTAACCCCTAACCCCTTGTAACCCCTTTTAACCCCTTGTAACCCCTTGTAACCCCTTGTAACCCTTGTAAAATAGACCGTGAAAAACCCGTTTGTAACCCTTTTGTAACCCCTTGTAACCCTTTTTTGGTAACCCCTTTTTGTAACCCCTGTATTCCCATGTCATAGATCGTAAAAATAAATCGTGAAAAAAATGATTTTTGACGTTTTATATAGCAAACAAGCCTTTCTGAAGAAGAAAAACATCGGTTTCAAAAACCCACAAAATTGGCATTTTTTTTCCAAAGGGGTTAGTCCATGGTTCTGGGAACGTTCTAGATAGAAAAAAAAGTATCTGGGAACGTTTCTAAAAAAGGTTTCTATAATCCTTTTGTAACCCCTGTAACCCCTTTGTCACCCCCTGTCACCCCTTTGTAACCCGCTTTAACCCATTGTAACCCCTTGTAACCCTTTTGTAACCCTCTGTAACCCTTTTGTAACCCCTGTATTCCCATGTCATAGATCGTGAAAATAGACCGTGAAAAAACGATTTTCGACGTTTTATATAGCAAACAAGCCTTTCTGAACAAAAAAACATCGGTTTCAAAAACCCACAAAATTGGCATTTTTGCAAAGGGGTTAGTCCATGGTTTTGGTCAAAAATTTGAAATTTTGTAAACGTTTCGTTTTATGCAAAATACACCCAGAAAAAGTATTTGGTGACGTTCTCGTTAGAAAACAAGCCTTTCTAGACAATATAAACATGGATTTAAAAAGAAGGCAAAATTGGCATTTTTGCAAAGGGGATAGTCCATGATTTTGGTCAAAAAGTTGAAGTTTTTTTTTGCTCATTTTTTGTATTATCAAAATAGATCGAGAAAAAGTGTTTGCTGACGTTTTAGATAAAAAAGAAGCCTTTAAAGACTATAAAAACAACTGTTTACGAAAAACGCAAAATTAGAATTTTTCCAAAGGGGTTAGTCCATCGTTTTGATCAAAAATTAGAGATTTCTTCAACTTTGATTTTTATGCAAAATAGACCAAGAAAAAGTATCTGGGAACGTTCTAGTTAAAAAGAAAGGTTTCTATAATCCTTTGCAACCCCCTGTAACCCCTTGTCAGCCCTTGTCACCCCTTGTAACCCCTTGTAACCCCCTGTAACCCCTTGTAACCCCCTGTAACCCCTTGTAACCCCTTGTAACCCCTTGTAACCCCCTGTAACCCCTTGTAACCCCCTGTATTCCCATGTCATAGATCGTGAAAATAGACCGTGAAAAAACGATTTTCGACGTTTTATATAGCAAACAAGCCTTTCTGAACAAAAAAACATCGGTTTCAAAAACCCACAAAATTGGCATTTTTGCAAAGGGGTTAGTCCATGGTTTTGGTCAAAAATTGGAAATTTTGTAAACGTTTCGTTTTATGCAAAATACACCCAGAAAAAGTATTTGGTGACGTTCTCGTTAGAAAACAAGCCTTTTTAGACAATATAAACATGGATTTAAAAAGAAGGCAAAATTGGCATTTTTGCAAAGGGGACAGTCCATGATTTTGGTCAAAAAGTTGAAGTTTTTTCATCTTTTGTATTTATCAAAAATAGATCGAGAAAAAGTGTTTGCTGACGTTTTAGATAAAAAAGAAGCCTTTAAAGACTATAAAAACAACTGTTTACGAAAAACGCAAAATTAGAATTTTTCCAAACGGGTTAGTCCATCGTTTTGATCAAAAATTAGAGATTTCTTCAACTTTGATTTTTATGCAAAATAGACCAAGAAAAAGTATCTGGGAACGTTCTAGTTAAAAAAAAAGGTTTCTATAATCCTTTGCAACCCCCTGTAACCCCTTGTCACCCCTGTCACCCCTTTTGTAACCCCCCCTTGTAACCCCTTGTAACCCCTTTAACCCAACCCCCTTGTAACCCCCTGTAACCCCTTGTAACCCCTTGTAACCCCTTGTAACCCCCTGTAACCCCTTGTAACCCCCTGTATTCCCATGTCATAGATCGTGAAAATAGACCGTGAAAAAACGATTTTCGACGTTTTATATAGCAAACAAGCCTTTCTGAACAAAAAAAACATCGGTTTCAAAAACCCACAAAATTGGCATTTTTGCAAAGGGGTTAGTCCATGGTTTTGGTCAAAAATTTGAAATTTTGTAAACGTTTCGTTTTATGCAAAATACACCCAGAAAAAGTATTTGGTGACGTTCTCGTTAGAAAACAAGCCTTTCTAGACAATATAAACATGGATTTAAAAAGAAGGCAAAATTGGCATTTTTGCAAAGGGGACAGTCCATGATTTTGGTCAAAAAGTTGAAGTTTTTTCATCTTTTGTATTTATCAAAAATAGATCGAGAAAAAGTGTTTGCTGACGTTTTAGATAAAAAAGAAGCCTTTAAAGACTATAAAAACAACTGTTTACGAAAAACGCAAAATTAGAATTTTTCCAAACGGGTTAGTCCATCGTTTTGATCAAAAATTAGAGATTTCTTCAACTTTGATTTTTATGCAAAATAGACCAAGAAAAAGTATCTGGGAACGTTCTAGTTAAAAAGAAAGGTTTCTATAATCCTTTGCAACCCCCTGTAACCCCTTGTCACCCCCTGTAACCCCTTGTAACCCCTTGTAACCCCGTGTAACCTCTTGTAACCCCCTGTATTCCCATGTCATAGATCGTGAAAATAGACCGTGAAAAAACGATTTTCGACGTTTTATATAGCAAACAAGCCTTTCTGAACGAAAAAAAACATCGGTTTCAAAAACCCACAAAATTGGCATTTTTGCAAAGGGGTTAGTCCATGGTTTTGGTCAAAAATTTGAAATTTTGTAAACGTTTCGTTTTATGCAAAATACACCCAGAAAAAGTATTTGGTGACGTTCTCGTTAGAAAACAAGCCTTTCTAGACAATATAAACATGGATTTAAAAAGAAGGCAAAATTGGCATTTTTGCAAAGGGGACAGTCCATGATTTTGGTCAAAAAGTTGAAGTTTTTTCATCTTTTGTATTTATCAAAAATAGATCGAGAAAAATTGTTTGCTGACGTTTTAGATAAAAAAAAGAATCCTTTAAAGACTATAAAAACAACTGTTTACGAAAAACGAAAAATTAGAATTTTTCCAAAGGGGTTAGTCCATCGTTTTGATCAAAAATTAGAGATTTCTTCAACTTTGATTTTTATGCAAAATAGACCAAGAAAAAGTATCTGGGAACGTTCTAGTTAAAAAAAAATCCTTTCTATAATCCTTTGCAACCCCCTGTAACCCCTTGTCACCCCCTGTCACCCCTTGTAACCCCTTGTAACCCCTGTAACCCCTTGGAACCCCTTGTAACCCCTTGTAACCCCCTGTAACCCCTTTAACCCCTTGTAACCCCCTGTATTCCCATGTCATAGATCGATCGAAAATAGACCGTGAAAAAACGATTTTCGACGTTTTATATAGCAAACAAGCCTTTCTGAACAAAAAAAAAACATCGGTTTCAAAAACCCACAAAATTGGCATTTTTTGCAAAGGGGTTAGTCCATGGTTTTGGTCAAAAATTGGAAATTTTGTAAACGTTTCGTTTTATGCAAAATACACCCAGAAAAAGTATTTGGTGACGTTCTCGTTAGAAAACAAGCCTTTTTAGACAATATAAACATGGATTTAAAAAGAAGGCAAAATTGGCATTTTTGCAAAAAAGGGTTAGTCCATTGTTTTTATCAAAAATTGAAAAAAGTTTTGTGAACCTTTCGTTTTATGCAAAAGATACACCAAAAAAAAATATTTTGTGACGTTTTCGGTAGAAAACAAAAATTAGAGATTTCTTCAACTTTGACAATATAAACATGGATTTAAAAAGAGGACAAAATTGGCCTTTTTGGAACGGGGTTAGTCCATTGTTTTGGTCAAAAATTGGAAATTTTGTGAACCTTTCGTTTTATGCAAAATACACCCAGAAAAAGTATTTTGTGACGTTTTCGTTAGAAAACAAGCCTTTTTAGACAATATAAACATGGATTTAAAAAGAAGGCAAAATTGGCCTTTTTGCAACGGGGTTAGTCCATTGTTTTGGTCAAAAATTGGAAATTTTGTGAACCTTTCGTTTTATGCAAAATACACCCAGAAAAAGTATTTGCTGACGTTCTCGTTAGAAAACGAGCCTTTCTAGACAATATAAACATGGATTTAAAAACAAGGCAAAATTGGCATTTTTGCAAAGGGAACAGTCCATGATTTTGGTCAAAAAGTTGGAGTTTTTTTTTTTTTTGTATTTATCAAAAATAGATCGAGAAAAAGTGTTTGCTGACGTTTTAGATAAAAAAGAAGCCTTTAAAGACAATAAAAACAACTGTTTACGAAAAACGCAAAATTAGAATTTTTCCAAAGGGGTTAGTCCATCGTTTTGATCAAAAATTAGAGATTTCTTCAACTTTGATTTTTATGCAAAATAGCCCAAGAAAAAGTATCTCGGAACGATCTAGTTAAAAAAAAGGTTTCTATAATCCTTTGCAACCCCCTGTAACCCTTTGTCACCCCCTGTCACCCTTTGTAACCCCTTGTAACCCATTGTAACCCCCTGTAACCCCTTGTAACCCCTTGTAACCCCTTGTAACCCCTTGTAACCCCCTGTAACCCCTTGTAACCCCCCGGTATTCCCATGTCATAGATCGTGACAATAGATCGTCAAAACGCGATTTTCGACGTTTTATATAGCAAACAAGCCTTTCTGAACAAAAAAAACATCGGTTTCAAAAACCCACAAAATTGGCATTTTTGCAAAGGGGTTAGTCCATGGTTTTGGTCAAAAATTTGAAATTTTGTAAACATTTCGTTTTATGCAAAATACACCCTGAACACGTATTTGGTGACGTTCTCGTTAGAAAACAAGCCTTTTTAGACAATATAAAAATGGATTTAAAAAGAACGCAAAATTGGCATTTTTGCAAAGGGGTTAGTCCATGGTTTTGGTCAAAAAGTGGAAATTTTGTAAACGTTTCGTTTTATGCAAAATACACCCAGAAAAAGTATTTGGTGACGTTCTCGTTAGAAAACAAGCCTTTTTAGACAATATAAACATCGATTTAAAAAGAAGGCAAAATTGGCCTTTTTGCAACGGGGTTAGTCCATTGTTTTGGTCAAAAATTGGAAATTTTGTGAACCTTTCGTTTTATGCAAAATAATCCCAGAAAAAGTATTTGCTGACGTTCTCGTTAGAAAACGAGCCTTTCTAGACAATATAAACATGGATTTAAAAACAAGGCAAAATTGGCATTTTTGCAAAGGGAACAGTCCATGATTTTGCTCAAAAAGTTGGAGTTTTTTCATCTTTTGTATTTATCAAAAATAGATCGAGAAAAAGTGTTTGCTGACGTTTTAGATAAAAAAGAAGCCTTTAAAGACTATAAAAACAAGTGTTTACGAAAAACGCAAAATTAGAATCTTTCCAAACGGGTTAGTCCATCGTTTTGATCAAAAATTAGAGATTTCTTCAACTTTGATTTTTATGCAAAATAGACCAAGAAAAAGTATCTGGGAACGTTCTAGTTAAAAAAAAAGGTTTCTATAATCCTTCGCAACCCCCTGTAACCCCTTGTCACCCCCTGTCACCCCTTGTAACCCCTTGTAACCCCTTAACCCCTAACCCCTGTAACCCCTTGTAACCCCTGTAACCCCTTGTAACCCCTTGTAACCCCTGTAACCCCTTGTGTATTCCCATGTCATAGATCGTGAAAATAGACCGTGAAAAAACGATTTTCGACGTTTTATATAGCAAAACAAGCCTTTCTGAACAAAAAAAAAAAAAGTATCGGTTTCAAAAACCCACAAAATTGGCATTTTTGCAAAGGGGTTAGTCCATGGTTTTGGTCAAAAATTGGAAATTTTGTAAACGTTTCGTTTTATGCAAAATACACCCAGAAAAAGTATTTGGTGACGTTCTCGTTAGAAAAAAAGCCTTTTTAGACAATATAAACATGGATTTAAAAAGAAGGCAAAATTGGCATTTTTGCAACGGGGTTAGTCCATTGTTTTGGTCAAAAATTGGAAATTTTGTGAACCTTTCGTTTTATGAAAAAAAAAAAAAAAAAAAAGTATTTTGTGACGTTTTCGGTAGAAAACAAGCCTTTTTAGACAATATAAACATGGATTTAAAAAGAAGACAAAATTGGCCTTTTTTGAACGGGGTTAGTCCATTGTTTTGGTCAAAAATTGGAAATTTTGTGAACCTTTCGTTTTATGCAAAATACACCCAGAAAAAGTATTTTGTGACGTTTTCGTTAGAAAACAAGCCTTTTTAGACAAAATAAACATGGATTTCAAAACAAGGCAAAATTGGCCTTTTTGCAACGGGGTTAGTCCATTTTTTTGGTCAAAAATTGGAAATTTTGTGAACCTTTCGTTTTATGCAAAATACACCCAGAAAAAGTATTTGCTGACGTTCTCGTTAGAAAACGAGCCTTTCTAGACAATATAAACATGGATTTAAAAAGAAGGCAAAATTGGCATTTTTGCAAAGGGAACAGTCCATGATTTTGGTCAAAAAGTTGGAGTTTTTTTTTTTTTTTTGTATTTATCAAAAATAGATCGAGAAAAAGTGTTTGCTGACGTTTTAGATAAAAAAGAAGCCTTTAAAGACAATAAAAACAACTGTTTACGAAAAACGCAAAATTAGAATTTTTCCAAAGGGGTTAGTCCATCGTTTTGATCAAAAATTAGAGATTTCTTCAACTTTGATTTTTATGCAAAATAGCCCAAGAAAAAGTATCTCGGAACGATCTAGTTAAAAAAAACGTTTCTATAATCCTTTGCAACCCCCTGTAACCCTTTGTCACCCCCTGTCACCCTTTGTAACCCCTTGTAACCCATTGTAACCCCCTGTAACCCCCTGTAACCCCTTGTAACCCCCCGGTATTCCCATGTCACAGATGGTGAAAATTGATCGTCAAAACACGATTTTCGACGTTTTATATAGCAAACAAGCCTTTCTGAACAAAAAAAACATCGGTTTCAAAAACCCACAAAATTGGCATTTTTGCAAAGGGGTTAGTCTATGGTTTTGGTCAAAAATTTGAAATTTTGTGAACATTTCGTTTTATGCAAAATACACCCTGAACACGTATTTGGTGACGTTCTCGTTAGAAAACAAGCCTTTTTAGTCAATATAAAAATGGATTTAAAAAGAACGCAAAATTGGCATTTTTGCAAAGGGGATAGTCCATGATTTTGGTCAAAAATTGAAATTTTTAAACTTTTCGTTTTATCAAAAATACACCCAGAAAAAGTTTTTGGTGACGTTCTCGTTAGAAAAAAAGCCTTTTAAGACAATAAAAACAACTCGATTTAAAAAAGGCAAAAATTGGCCTTTTGCAACGGGGTTAGTCCATTGTTTTGGTCAAAAATTGGAAATTTGTGAACCTTTCGTTTTATGCAAAATAATCCCAAGAAAAAGTATTTGGGAACGTTCTCGTTAAAAAACAAAAGTTTTTTAGACAATATAAACATGGATTTAAAAAGAAGGCAAAATTGGCAAATTTGTCACAAACAAGGTTTTTTTAAGTCCCCTTGTAACCCCTTTGGTTACCCCTTTTGGTCAAAAACACCCAGAAAAGTTTTTGAAATTTTGTTAAACCCTTTCGTTTTATAAAAATCAAAAATACACCCCATTGTTTTGAAAAAAAATTATTTTGAGACGTTTTTCGTTAGAAAACAAAAAAAAGATTTTTGTGAACAAAAAAAACATGGATTTAAAAAACCCAGGCAAAATTGGCATTTTTGCAAAGGGGTTAGTCCATTGTTTTGGTCAAAAATTGAAATTTTGTGAACCTTTTTCGTTTTATGCAAAATACACCCAGAAAAAAAAAGTATTTGGTGACGTTCTCGTTAGAAAACAAGCCTTTCTAGACAATATAAACATGGATTTAAAAAGAAGGCAAAATTGGCATTTTTGCAAAGGGAACAGTCCATGATTTTGGTCAAAAAGTTGGGTTTTTTTTTTTTTCTATTTATCAAAAATAGATCGAGAAAAAGTGTTTTCTGACGTTTTAGATAAAAACGAAGCCTTTAAAGACAATAAAAACAACTGTTTACGAAAAACGCAAAATTTGAATTTTTCCAAACGGGTTAGTCCATCGTTTTGATCGAAAATTAGAGATTTCTTCAACTTTGATTTTTATGCAAAATAGCCAAGGAAAAAGTATCTCGGAACGATCTAGTTAAAAAAAAAGGTTTCTATATTCCTTTCCAACCCCCTGTAACCCTTTTTCACCCCCTGTAACCCCTTGTAACCCCTTGTAACCCCTTGTAATCCCTTTGTAACCCCCTGTAACCCCTTGTCACCCCTTGTAACCCCTTGTAACCCCTTGTAACCCCCTGTAACCCCTTGTAACCCCCGGTATTCCCATGTCATAGATCGTGAAAATAGACCGTGAAAAAACGATTTTCGACGTTTTATATAGCAAACAAGCCTTTCTGAACAAAAAAAACATCGGTTTCAAAAACCCACAAAATTGGCATTTTTGCAAAGGGGTTAGTCCATGGTTTTGGTCAAAAATTTGAAATTTTGTAAACGTTTCGTTTTATACAAAATACACCTAGAAAAAGTATTTGGTGACGTTCTCGTTAGAAAACAAGCCTTTTTAGACAATATAAACATGGATTTAAAAAGAAGGCAAAATTGGCATTTTTGCAACAGGGTTAGTCCATTGTTTTGGTCAAAAATTGGAAATTTTGTGAACCTTTCGTTTTATGCAAAATACACCCAGAAAAAGTATTTGGTGACGTTCTCGTTAAAAAGAAAACAAAAACAACTTTTTAGAAAATATAAACAAACGGGTTAGTCCATTTTTGAAAAAATTAGAAATTTTTTATGCATTTTTGCAAAAGGGGTTAGTCCATTGTTTTGGTCAAAAAAAAAGTATTCCCATGTCACCTTGAAAAAAAACGATTTTTTTAACCCCTAACCCCTTTCTGAACCTTTTTCGTTTTATGCAAAATACACCCAGAAAAAGTATTTTGTGACGTTTTCCTTAGAAAACAAGCCTTTTTAGACAATATAAACATGGATTTAAAAAGAAGGCAAAATTGGCCTTTTTGCAATGGGGTTAGTCCATTGTTTTGGTCAAAAATTGGAAATTTTGTGAACCTTTCGTTTTATGCAAAATACACCCTGAACACGTATTTGGTGACGTTCTCGTTAGAAAACAAGCCTTTCTAGACAATATAAACATGGACTTAAAAAGAAGGCAAAATTGGCATTTTTGCAAAGGGAACAGTCCATGATTTTGGTCAAAAAGTTGGAGTTGTTTTTTTTTTTGTATTTATCAAAAATAGATCGAGAAAAAGTGTTTGCTGATGTTTTAGATAAAATAAAGAATCCTTTAAAGACTATAAAAACAACTGTTTACGAAAAACGCAAAATTAGAATTTTTCCATCGTTTTGATCAAAAATTAGAGATTTCTTCAACTTTGATTTTGATGCAAAATAGACCAAGAAAGAGTATCTGGGAACGTTCGAGTTAAAAAAAAAAGGTTTCTATAATCCTTCGCAACCCCCTGTAACCGCTTGTTACCCCCTGTCATCCCTTGTAACCCCTTGTAACCCCCTGTAACCCCTTGTAACCCCCTGTAACCTCTTGTAACCCCCTGTATTCCCATGTCATAGATCGTGAAAATAGATCGTGAAAAAACGATTTTCGACGTTTTATATAGCAAACAAGCCTTTCTGAACAAAAAAAACATCGGTTTCAAAAACCACAAAATTGGCATTTTTGCAAAGGGGTTAGTCCATGGTTTTGGTGAAAAATTTGAAATTTTGTGAACGTTTCAATTTATGCACAATAGACCCAGAAAAAGTATTTGGTGACGTTCTCGTTAGAAAATAAGCCTTTCTAGACAATATTAACATGGATTTAAAAAGAAGGCAAAATTGACATTTTTGCAAAGGGGATTGTCCATGAGTTTGGTCAAAAAGTTGAAGTTTTATCATCTTTTGTATTTATCAAAAATAGATCGAGAAAAAAAAGTGTTTGCTGACGTTTTAGATAAAAAAAAAAGCCTTTAAAGACTATAAAAAAAAACTGTTTACGAAAAACGCAAAATTAGAATTTTTCCAAACGGGTTAGTCCATCGTTTTGATCAAAAATTAGAGATTTCTTCAACTTTGATTTTTATGCAAAATAGACCAAGAAAAAGTATCTGGGAACGTTCTAGTTAAAAAAAAAGGTTTCTATAATCCTTTGCAACCCCTGTAACCCCTTGTCACCCCCTGTCACCCCTTGTAACCCCTTGTAACCCCTGTAACCCCTTGTAACCCCTTGTAACCCCTGTAACCCCTTGTAACCCCCCCTTGTAACCCCTTGTAACCCCTGTAACCCCTTGTAACCCCTGTAACCCCCTTGTAACCCCCGTGAATGTCATAGATCGTGAAAATAGACCGTGAAAAAACGATTTTCGACGTTTTATATAGCAAACAAGCCTTTCTGAACAAAAAAAACATCGGTTTCAAAAACCCACAAAATTGGCATTTTTGCAAAGGGGTTAGTCCATGGTTTTGGTCAAAAATTGGAAATTTTGTAAACGTTTCGTTTTATGCAAAATACACCCAGAAAAAGTATTTGGTGACGTTCTCGTTAGAAAACAAGCCTTTCTAGACAATATAAACATGGATTTAAAAAGAAGGCAAAATTGGCATTTTTGCAAAGGGGACAGTCCATGATTTTGGTCAAAAAGTTGAAGTTTTTTCATCTTTTGTATTTATCAAAAAGAGATCGAGAAAAAGTGTTTGCTGAGGTTTTAGATAAAAAAGAAGCCTTTAAAGACTATAAATACAACTGTTTACGAAAAACGCATAATTAGAATTTTTCCAAACGGGTTAGTTCGTCGTATTGATCAAAAATTAGAGATTTCTTCAACATTGATTTTTATGCAAAATAGACCAAGAAAAACTATCTGGGAACGATCTAGTTTAAAGAAAATGTTTCTATAATCCTTTGCAACCCCTTGTAACCCCTTGTCACCCCCTGTCTCCCCTTTTAACCCCTTGTAACCCCCTGTAACCCCTTGTAACCCCCTGAAACCCCTTGTATTCCCATGTCATAGATCGTGAAAATAGACCGTGAAAAAACGATTTTCGACGTTTTATATAGCAAACAAGCCTTTCTGAACAAAAAAAAACATCGGTTTCAAAAACCCACAAAATTGGCATTTTTGCAAAGGGGTTTTTTTGGTCAAAAATTTGATATTTTGGTTTCGTTTTATGTCCCCATGACGTTCTCGTTAGAAAACAAGCAAAATTGGCAAACAGGGTTAGTCCATTGTTTTGGTCAAAAATTGGAAATTTTGTGAACGTTTCGTTTTATGCAAAATACACCCAGAAAAAAAGTTTGGTGACGTTCTCGTTAGAAAACAAGCCTTTCTAGACAATATAAACATGGATTTAAAAAGAAGGCAAAATTGGCATTTTTGCAAAGAGGACAGTCCATGATTTTGGTCAAAAAGTTGAAGTTTTTTCATCTTTTGTATTTATCAAAAATAGATCGAGAAAAAGTGTTTGCTGACGTTCTAGATAAAAAAAGAAGCCTTTAAAGACTATAAAAACAACTGTTTACGAAAAACGCAAAATTAGAATTTTTCCAAAGGGGTTAGTCCATCGTTTTGATCAAAAATTAGAGATTTCTTCAACTTTGATTTTTATGCAAAATAGACCAAGAAAAAGTATCTGGGAACGTTCTAGTTAAAAAAAAAGGTTTCTATAATCCTTTGCAACCCCCTGTAACCCCTTGTCACCCCCTGTCACCCCTTGTAACCCCTTGTAACCCCCTGTAACCCCCTGTAACCCCTTGTAACCCCTTTGCAACCCCCTGTAACCCCTTGTAACCCCCTGTCACCCCTTGTAACCCCTTGTAACCCCCTGTAACCCCTTGTAACCCCCTGTATTCCCATGTCATAGATCGTGAAAATAGACCGTGAAAAAACGATTTTCGACGTTTTATATAGCAAACAAGCCTTTCTGAACAAAAAAAAACATCAGTTTCAAAAACCCACAAAATTGGCATTTTTGCAAAGGGGTTAGTCCATGGTTTTGGTCAAAAATTGGAAATTTTGTAAACGTTTCGTTTTATGCAAAATACACCCAGAAAAAGTATTTGGTGACGTTCTCGTTAGAAAACAAGCCTTTCTAGACAATATAAACATGGATTTAAAAAGAAGGCAAAATTGGCATTTTTGCAAAGGGAACAGTCCATCATTTTGGTCAAAAAGTTGAAGTTTTTTCATCTTTTGTATTTATCAAAAATAGATCGAGAAAAAGTGTTTGCTGACGTTTTAGATAAAAACTATAAAAACAACTGTTTACGAAAAACGCAAAATTAGAATTTTTCCAAACGGGTTAGTCCATCGTTTTGATCAAAAATTAGAGATTTCTTCAACTTTGATTTTTATGCAAAATAGACCAAGAAAAAGTATCTGGGAACGTTCTAGTTAAAAAGAAAGGTTTCTATAATCCTTTCCAACCCCCTGTAACCCCTTGTCCCCCCCTGTCACCACTTGTAACCCCTTGTAACCCCTGTAACCCGTTTAACCCCTTGTAACCCCTTGTAACCTCCTGTAACCAATTGCAGCCCCTTGTAACCCCTTGTAACCCCCCTGTAACCCCTTGTAACCCCCTGTATTCCCATGTCATAGATCGTGAAAATAGACCGTGAAAAAACGATTTTCGACGTTTTATATAGCAAACAAGCCTTTCTGAACAAAAAAAACATCGGTTTCAAAAACTCACAAAATTGGCATTTTTGCAAAGGGGTTAGTCCATGGTTTTGGTCAAAAATTGGAAATTTTGTAAACGTTTCGTTTTATGCAAAATACACCCAGAAAAAGTATTTGGTGACGTTCTCGTTAGAAAACAAGCCTTTCTAGACAATATAAACATGAATTTAAAAAGAAGGCAAAATTGGCATTTTTGCAAAGGGGACAGTCCATGATTTTGGTCAAAAAGTTGAAGTTTTTTCATCTTTTGTATTTATCACAAATTGATCGAGAAAAAGTGTTTGCTGACGTTCTAGATAAAAAAAGAAGCCTTTAAAGACTATAAAAACAACCGTTTACGAAAAACGCAAAATTAGAATTTTCCCATCGTTTTGATCAAAAATTAGAGATTTCTTCAACTTTGATTTTTATGCAAAATAGACCAAGAAAGAGTATCTGGGAACGTTCTAGTTAAAAAAAAAGGTTTCTGTAATCCTTTTCAACCTCCTGTAACCGCTTGTCACCCCCTGTCATCCCTTTTAACCCCTTGTAACCCCCCGTAACCCCTAGTAACCCCCAGTAACCCCTTGTAACCCCCCCCCCCCTTGTAACCCCTTGTAACCCCTTGTAACCCCCCTGTAACCCCTTGTAACCCCTTAACCCCTTGTAACCCCTGTATTCCCATGTCATAGATCGTGAAAATAGACCGTGAAAACGATTTTCGATTTTCGACGTTTTATATAGCAAACAAGCCTTTCTGAACAAAAAAAAAACATCGGTATCAAAAACCCACAAAATTGGCATTTTTGCAAAAGGGTTAGTCCATGGTTTTGGTCAAAAATTGGAAATTTTGTAAACCTTTCGTTTTATGCAAAATACACCCAAAAAAAGTATTTGGTGACGTTCTCGTTAGGAAACAAGCCTTTCTAGACAATATAAACATGGATTTAAAAAGAAGGCAAAATTGGCATTTTTGCAAAGCGGACAGCCCATGATTTTGGTCAAAAAGTTGAAGTTTTTTCATGTTTTGTATTTATCAAAAATAGATCGAGAAAAAGTGTTTGCTGACGTTTTAGATAAAAAAAAGAATCCTTTAAAGACTATAAAAACAACTGTGTACGAAAAACGCAAAATTAGAACTTTTCCAAACGGGTTAGTCCATCGTTTTGATCAAAAATTAGAGATTTCTTCAACTTTGATTTTTATGCAAAATAGACCAAGAAAAAGTATCTGGGAACGTTCTAGTTAAAAAGAAAGGTTTCTATAATCCTTTGCAACCCCCTGTAACCCCTTGTCAGCCCCTGTCACCCCTTGTAACCCCTTGTAACCCCCTGTAACCCCTTGTAACCCCTTGTAACCCCTTGTAACCCCCTGTAACCCCTTGTAACCCCTTGTAACCCCTTGTAACCCCATGTAACCCCTTGTAACCCCCTGTATTCCCATGTCATAGATCGTGAAAATAGACCGTGAAAAAACGATTTTCGACGTTTTATATAGCAAACAAGCCTTTCTGAACAAAAAAAACATCGCTTTCAAAAACCCACAAAATTGGCATTTTTGCAAAGGGGTTAGTCCATGGTTTTGGTCAAAAATTGGAAATTTTGTAAACGTTTCGTTTTATGCAAAATACACCCAGAAAAAGTATTTGGTGACGTTCTCGTTAGAAAACAAGCCTTTCTAGACAATATAAACATGGATTTAGAAAGAAGGCAAAATTGGCATTTTTTTGCAAAGGGGACAGTCCATGATTTTGGTCAAAAAGTTGAAGTTTTTTCATCTTTTGTATTTATCAAAAAATAGATCGAGAAAAAGTGTTTGCTGACGTTTTAGATAAAAAAAAGAAGCCTTTAAAGACTATAAAAACAACTGTTTACGAAAAAACGCAAAATTAGAATTTTTCCAAACGGGTTAGTCCATCGTTTTGATGAAAAATTAGAGATTTCTTCAACTTTGATTTTTATGCAAAACAGACCAAGAAAAAGTATCTGGGAACGTTCTAGTTAAAAAAAAAAGGTTTCTATAATCCTTTGCAACCCCCTGTAACCCCTTGTCACCCCTGTCACCCCTTGTAAACCCTTTGTAACCCCTGTAACCCCTTGTAACCCCTTGTAACCCCTTGTAACCCCTTGTAACCCCTAACCCCCTTAAACCCCTGTATTCCCCATGTCATAGATCGTCATAAAATAAATAGACCGTGAAAAAACGATTTTCGACGTTTTATATAGCAAACAAGCCTTTCTGAACAAAAAAAAAATCGGTTTCAAAACCCACAAAATTGGCATTTTTGCAAAGGGTTAGTCCATGGTTTTGGTCAAAAATTTTTGTAAAAATTTTGTAAACGTTTCGTTTTATGCAAAATACACCCAGAAAAAGTATTTGGTGACGTTCTCGTTAGAAAACAAGCCTTTCTAGACAATATAAACATGGATTTAAAAAGAAGGCAAAATTGGCATTTTTGCAAAGGGGACAGTCCATGATTTTGGTCAAAAAGTTGAAGTTTTTTTCATCTTTTGTATTTATCAAAAATAGATCGAGAAAAAAAAAGTGTTTGCTGACGTTTTAGATAAAAAAAAAGAAGCCTTTAAAGACTATAAAAACAACAACTGTTTACGAAAAACGCAAAATTAGAATTTTTCCAAACGGGTTAGTCCATCGTTTTGATCAAAAATTAGAGATTTCTTCAACTTTGATTTTTATGCAAAATAGACCAAGAAAAAGTATCTGGGAACGTTCTAGTTAAAAAGAAAGGTTTCTATAATCCTTTGCAACCCCTGTAACCCCCCCCCCTGTCACCCCCTGTCACCCCTTGTAACCCCCCTTGTAACCCCTAACCCCCTTTGTAACCCCTTGTAACCCCTTGTAACCCCCTGTAACCCCTTGTAACCCCCTGTAACCCCTTCTATTCCCATGTCATAGATCGTGAAAATAGACCGTGAAAAAACGATTTTCGACGTTTTATATAGCAAACAAGCCTTTCTGAACCAAAAAACATCGGTTTCAAAAACCCACAAAATTGGCATTTTTGCAAAGGGGTTAGTCCATGGTTTTGGTCAAAAATTGGAAATTTTGTAAACGTTTCGTTTTATTTAAAATACTCCCAGAAAAAGTATTTGGTGACGTTCTCGTTAGAAAACAAGCCTTTCTAGACAATATAAACATGGATTTAAAAAGAAGGCAAAATTGGCATTTTTGCAAAGGGACAGTCCATGATTTTGGTCAAAAAGTTGAAGTTTTTTCCTCTTTTGTATTTATCAAAAATAGATCGAGAAAAAGTGTTTGCTGACGTTTTAGATAAAAAAGAAGCCTTTAAAGATTATAAAAACAACTGTTTACGAAAAACGCAAAATTAGAATTTTTCCAAACGGCTTAGTCCATCGTTTTGATCAAAAATTAGAGATTTCTTCAACTTTGATTTCTATGCAAAATAGACCAAGAAAAACTATCTGGGAACGATCTAGTTTAAAGAAAATGTTTCTATAATCCTTTGCAACCCCCTGTAACCCCTTGTCACCCCCTGTCTCCCCTTGTAACCCCTTGTAACCCCCTGTAACCCCTTGTAACCCCTTGTAACCCCCTGTAACCCCTTGTAACCCCCCTGTACCCCCTTGTATTCCCATGTCATAGATCGTGAAAATAGACCGTGAAAAAACGATTTTCGACGTTTTATATAGCAAACAAGCCTTTCTGAACGAAAAAAAACACCGGTTTCAAAAACCCACAAAATTGGCATTTTTGCAAAGGGGTTAGTCCATGGTTTTGGTCAAAAATTGGAAATTTTGTAAACGTTTCGTTTTATGCAAAATACACCCAGAAAAAGTATTTGGTGACGTTCTCGTTAGAAAACAAGCCTTTCTAGACAATATAAACATGGATTTAAAAAGAAGGCAAAATTGGCATTTTTGCAAAGGGGACAGTCCATGATTTTGGTCAAAAAGTTGAAGTTTTTTCATCTTTTGTATTTATCAAAAATAGATCGAGAAAAAGTGTTTGCTGACGTTTTAGATAAAAAAGAAGCCTTTAAAGACTATAAAAACAACTGTTTACGAAAAACGCAAAATTAGAATTTTTCCAAAGGGGTTAGTCCATCGTTTTGATCAAAAATTAGAGATTTCTTCAACTTTGATTTTTATGCAAAATAGACCAAGAAAAAGTATCTGGGAACGTTCTAGTTAAAAAAAAGGTTTCTATAATCCTTTGCAACCCCCTGTAACCCCTTGTCACCCCCTGTCACCCCTTGTAACCCCTTGTAACCCCCTCTAACCCCTTGTAACCCCTTGTAACCCCTTGTAACCCCCTGTAACCCCTTGTAACCCCTTGTATTCCCATGTCATAGATCGTGAAAATAGACCGTGAAAAAACGATTTTCGACGTTTTATATAGCAAACAAGCCTTTCTGAACAAAAATAACATCGGTTTCAAAAACCCACAAAATTGGCATTTTTGCAAAGGGGTTAGTCCATGGTTTTGGTCAAAAATTTGAAATTTTGTGAACGTTTCGTTTTATGCAAAATACACCCAGAAAAAGTATTTGGTGACGTTCTCGTTAGAAAACAAGCCTTTTTAGACAATATAAACATGGATTTAAAAAGAAGGCAAAATTGGCATTTTTGCAACGGGGTTAGTCCATTGTTTTGGTCAAAAATTTGAAATTTTGTGAACGTTTCGTTTTATGCAAAATACACCCAGAAAAAGTATTTGGTGACGTTCTCGTTAGAAAACAAGCCTTTTTAGACAATATAAACATGGATTTAAAAAGAAGGCAAAATTGGCATTTTTGCAAAAGGGGTTAGTCCATTGTTTTGGTCAAAAATTGAAAAATTTTGTGAACCTTTTTTTTTAAAATAGACCAAAATACATCCAGGGAAAAAAAGTATTTTCCTTTGCAACGTTTTCACCCCCCAAAAAACAAGCCTTTTTAGACAATATAAACATGGATTTAAAAAAAATAGCAAAATTTTCGACGTTTTATATAGCAAACAAGCCTTTTGAACAAAAAAAAATCGGTTAAAACCATTGTTTTGGTCAAAAATTGGAAATTTTGTGAACCTTTCGTTTTATGCAAAATACACCCAGAAAAAGTATTTGGTGACGTTCTCGTTAGAAAACAAGAGTTTTTAGACAATATAAACATGGATTTAAAAAGAAGGCAAAATTGGCATTTTTGCAAAGGGAACAGTCCATGATTTTGGTCAAAAAGTTGAAGTTTTTTCATCTTTTGTATTTATCAAAAATAGATCGAGAAAAAGTGTTTGCTGACGTTTTAGATAAAAAAAAAGAATCCTTTAAAGACTATAAAAACAACTGTTTACGAAAAACGCAAAATAAGAATTTTTCCCAAAGGGTTAGTCCATCGTTTTGATCAAAAATAAGAGATCTCTTCAACTTTGATTTTTATGCAAAATAGACCAAGAAAAAGTATCTGGGAACGTTCTAGTTAAAAAGAAAGGTTTCTATAATCCTTTGCAACCCCTGTGTAACCCCCCCTGTCACCCCCCCCTTGTCACCCCTTGTAACCCCCTGTAACCCCTTGTAACCCCTTGTAACCCCTTTGTAACCCCTTGTAACCCCTTGTAACCCCCCCCTGTATTCCCATGTCATAGATCGTGAAAATAGACCGTGAAAACGATTTTCGACGTTTTATATAGCAAACAAGCCTTTCTGAACAAAAAAAACATCGGTTTCAAAAACCCACAAAATTGGCATTTTTGCAAAGGGTTAGTCCATGGTTTTGGTCAAAAATTTGAAATTTTGTAAACGTTTCGTTTTATGCAAAATACAAAACACGTATTTGGTGACGTTCCAAGCCTTTTAGAAAATAAACATTTTAAAAAGAAGGCAAAATTGGCATTTTGACGTTTTCGTTAGAAAACAAACCTTTTTAGACAATATAAAAATGAATTTAAAGAGAACGCAAAATTGGCATTTTTGCAAAGGGGATAGTCCATGATTTTGGTCAAAAAGTTGAAGTTTTTTCATCTTTTGTATTTATCAAAAATAGATCGAGAAAAAGTGTTTGCTGACGTTTTAGATAAAAAAGAAGCCTTTAAAGACTATAAAAACAACTGTTTACGAAAAACGCAAAATTAGAATTTTTCCAAAGGGGTTAGTCCATCGTTTTGATCAAAAATTAGAGATTTCTTCAACTTTGATTTTTATGCAAAATAGACCAAGAAAAAGTATCTGGGAACGTTCTAGTTAAAAAGAAAGGTTTCTATAATCCTTTGCAACCCCCTGTAACCCCTTGTCACCCCCTGTCACCCCTTGTAACCCCTTGTAACCCCCTGTAACCCCTTGTAACCCCTTGTAACCCCCTGTAACCCCTTGTAACCCCCTGTAACCCCTTGTATTCCCATGTCATAGATCGTGAAAATAGACCGTGAAAAAACGATTTTCGACGTTTTATATAGCAAACAAGCCTTTCTGAACAAAAAAAACATCGGTTTCAAAAACCCACAAAATTGGCATTTTTGCAAAGGGGTTAGTCCATGGTTTTGGTCAAAAATTGGAAATTTTGTGAACCTTTCGTTTTATGCAAAATACACCCAGAAAAAGTATTTGGTGACGTTCTCGTTAGAAAACAAGCCTTTTTAGACAATATAAACATGGATTTAAAAAGAAGGCAAAATTGGCATTTTTGCAACGGGGTTAGTCCATTGTTTTGGTCAAAAATTGGAAATTTTGTGAACCTTTCGTTTTATGCAAAATACACCCAGAAAAAGTATTTTGTGACGTTTTCGTTAGAAAACAAGCCTTTTTAGACAATATAAACATGGATTTAAAAAGAAGGCAAAATTGGCCTTTTTGCAACGGGGTTAGTCCATTGTTTTGGTCAAAAATTGGAAATTTTGTGAACCTTTCGTTTTATGCAAAATACACCCAGAAAAAGTATTTGCTGACGTTCTCGTTAGAAAACGAGCCTTTCTAGACAATATAAACATGGATTTAAAAACAAGGCAAAATTGGCATTTTTGCAAAGGGAACAGTCCATGATTTTGGTCAAAAGTTGAAGTTTTTTTTTTTTTATTTATCAAAAATAGATCGAGAAAAAGTGTTTGCTGACGTTTTAGATAAAAAAAAGAATCCTTTAAAGACTATAAAAACAACTGTTTACGAAAAACGCAAAATTAGAATTTTTCCAAAGGGGTTAGTCCATCGTTTTGATCAAAAATT